TTAAAATTGTGCTTTTGAGCTTTTTATTTTTTGTCATCGTGCTAAAGTATTTTTCAGAAAAAAATATAATTAAAAATAGATATTGGGCATGTGAGTGTCCCATGTAAAATCAGGACCGTTCAAATCATCTTCCAAACTTCTATTTATTCTCAATCTTCTCTTCTCTACAACATCCAAGCTTAAACTTGCTTTCTGCTTCTTCCTTCTTCATCCTTTGTTATAATTCTCTCATATCACTTAAGAGAAAAAAAAAAACAAAAACAAAATCTCCAAAACTAAAGAGAAATTTCGTTATCACTCTCTTCCCAAAACTCACATACATATAATCCAATATCATCACAAATGTCTTGCCTAGAGATTTATAACAAAGACGTAAGTAATATTTTATAAAGCTTGTCCCTTCAATTGTTTCTTTATTTGCTTTGATATATTAATCAGAGTTTGAAGTAATGGGCCTTTACTTTTCTTCCTTATAAGATTTTGATTATCTGATTAAGCTCTTGTTTCTGAAAATTCATATGTGACTACAAAAGGAAATTTTTTTCTTTTTAAGTAACTCATTGTTATAGTAAAAACTTTCTAAGCTTTTGGTGGCTCAAGAAGAGCATGATCAAAAGGACATGCTTAGTGCAATGGAAAGTCACGATCTTTATGTGCAACAAACATTTAGCTCAACATCTTTTCTTTTTCTTCAAAAAATATTTTTAATAGACAAGCTTTTAAATTAAGCTCTATAATATTGGCATATTATATCTAATCTTCTTTATATATATGGATGTAAGTATTTTTCCTTTTTAGTGCTCCAATTTAAAGTCGAGTATAAATCCAAATATAATCTTGAAAGTTGTGTATACAAACGAGAATTACGTGGCAATGCAGAAAATTAGAGTTAATGAAAAGAAAAAAAACCATGGAACTTATGAATCTTCTCAGTAACATGAGCAAAAAAGGTGGTACATACTAGTAGAGAATTAAACATATATAGCATCTTTCTATATATTTATAAATAAATTGATGTGTTTGTATCAATTAATTAAATTTAAATAAATGAAAAAATGCAGACAATGAAGAAGAAAGAAGGAGAAGAAGAAACAAGAGATGGGACAGTGGATTACTATGGTCGTCCCTCTATTCGTTCTAACTCAGGCCAATGGGTTGCTGGCATCGTCATTCTTCGTATGTCTCGCTTCCCTAATTCAAAATTACAATTTAACAATACATCAAATTGAAATATAAATATGCATTTTTGTTAAGAAATCAACTGTAATATATTTATGAACCAAATAAATAGTAATTTTATGAAACCTTAAAACATAGAATCTTTTTTATTTTTATTTTGTTCTTCACGTCCTTTTCTCAAAGATACCACATGCAAACTCATGGCATCTTTACATAGCTATATTCAGTGCTGGTCCCTATATAATTCATGGATTCATATTATTATTATGGCTATAGAAACATATATATTTACATTATTTTGTATATAGTATATGTAACGTATAAACAGAGATATAGATCCCGACAAAAAACGTATAGGTTGATGATATCGACACTGACAAGAAAAAAAAAACTAGATACCGATATGATGTATATCTAAAAGTGTGTAGATTGATTGATATGCATACTTATCTTTGAGGTAATAAGTTATCAGAAACTAGGAAAGTGACAATAGAACGAACATAAATGACTAGAATTAACTTCGAGTTTTACGTGAACGTGTCAAGACATATCCATGTGTTCGAACGTAGGCTGCATGTTTTGGTAGAAAAACCCCAACCACATGACAAATGCATATATAAATTTTTTATAACGGGTACATCATAAAATGCAAAATATGTTCTAGCCATTTTTTATAAATTAATTATAAGGACTTCAATAATTATAGTACTTATGTAAAGAAAAAAGAATACCTATGATGAAAAATAGTTATTATATAATAAACATACGTGTACTTTTCAATCATTTTCTCCAAAAAAAAAATACTAATAATTCAAACGCAACTAAAATGATGTAAGAGATCTGAATGATTGAGTGTTTAGTTTTAATATTTATGGATCTAGTTAAACATTTTAGAAAATAACTGAAAAAGAAAACATTCAGATTTGTAAGTGATTCTATATATGGAGATAGATATATAGGTTTTTTAAAGATACTTTGATGGAATTTAACCAAAAAAAGAAAAAAAGTTATTTTGAGGAAGACGACACTAATAAATTAACATAAGAGCAAGGAAAGCATGTGTTAGTGGAATTACGTTGCCTTACACGTAATTACCCATCTTGTCTTTCCATGACGTTGGCTAATGCCACGTCCACTTCTTCACAATTTTCTCCTAACACTTTCAAATTTTGCTTATAAATTATGTTGATTTTAAATTATAAAATTAGAATAATTCACAAAGCATCTATTTTCATACAAAGTAGAATTTAAGAGATTTTAGTGGGTTTTCTTTTTGGTTTGATGATTTTTAGTTAGTAGAGTCCACGTAATAGTTTTAATAATATAATTCATAAAATTGTTATTAGTTAACGATTTGTATTTCGCATGTGGAATTCAATTTGCTAAAATTTTGTTATTTGTATGATTTAATCATTTGATTTCGTTAGAAGGTGGAACAATAATGAAGTAGTCATTAAATACAATCCAACCAAAGAAATGTTAACATCATCTTGACGAACACGGAACAATTATTAGCAATCATTCATTCATTCCATTCTTTCATCTATTCTGGTTTCTTTCAAATCAATAATAATTTGGTTAACGCTTTCTAAACCAGTTTCTAATCTAATTCCCGGTTTAACAGTGAACCAGGGGTTGGCGACACTAGCCTTCTTTGGAGTTGGAGTGAACTTGGTGCTCTTCCTAACGCGCGTTTTGCAGCAGAATAACGCAGACGCAGCTAACAACGTTAGCAAATGGACAGGGACTGTTTATATCTTCTCATTGGTTGGAGCGTTTCTCAGCGATTCGTATTGGGGTCGTTACAAGACTTGTGCTATATTCCAAGTCATTTTTGTCATTGTAAGTAATAGCAAATATCAAAATGTGATTCATCTTTTGAAAGTTTGAAACGTTTTGAGCTAATAAGAACGCTTTTTTGGATGTGAAAACGCAGGGACTTTCATCGCTATCGCTATCATCGTACATGTTCTTGATTAGACCACGAGGTTGCGGGGATGAAGTCACTCCTTGTGGTTCGCATTCCATGATGGAGATCACAATGTTCTACTTTTCGATCTACTTGATCGCATTGGGATATGGCGGTTACCAACCAAACATTGCAACGCTTGGAGCGGATCAATTCGATGAGGAGCATCCTAAAGAAGGGTACTCAAAGATTGCGTTTTTCAGCTACTTCTACCTTGCTTTGAACCTCGGATCGCTCTTTTCGAACACCATCTTGGGGTATTTTGAGGATGAGGGAATGTGGGCACTCGGGTTTTGGGCGTCCACTGGCTCTGCTATCATTGGTTTGATTCTTTTCCTCGTTGGAACACCGAGATACCGATATTTCCAGCCCACTGGAAATCCTCTTTCGAGGTTTTGCCAAGTTCTGGTCGCTGCAACGAAGAAATCATCGGTGGAGGCGCCACTAAGAGGGAGAGAGGAGATGTATGACGGAGACAGCCAAGGGAAAAATGCTTCAGAAAATACAGGGAGAAGGATAGTGCACACCGATGAATTCAAGTAAGTTGCCAAAAAGCGTAGTTTTTCCATATACGTCAATGCCATGAATTGTTCTAACATCTTTCTTTTGGAATTGCAGGTTCTTGGACAAAGCAGCGTACATCACAGCGAGAGATCTTGATGACAAGAAACAAGATGCAGTGAATCCGTGGAGGCTCTGTCCGGTGACACAAGTCGAGGAAGTCAAGTGCATTCTTAGACTGATGCCAATTTGGCTCTGCACTATAATCTACTCAGTCGTCTTCACCCAAATGGCCTCTCTCTTTGTGGAGCAAGGCGCTGCGATGAATACCTCTGTCTCGGATTTCAAAATTCCCCCGGCAAGTATGTCCAGCTTCGACATCCTTAGCGTCGCTTTGTTCATATTCCTATACCGCAGAGTTCTCGAGCCAGTAGCCAACAGATTCAAGAAAAACGGATCAAAAGGAATCACCGAGCTTCACAGGATGGGAATCGGACTTGTGATTGCTGTCATAGCTATGATTGCAGCCGGAATTGTCGAATGCTATAGGCTAAAGTACGCAGACAAGAGTTGCACTCACTGTGATGGCTCAAGCTCCTTAAGCATCTTCTGGCAGGTAATGAACACAAACCTTGAAACCCAATCCGGTCCTAAAATCAACCACTTACAAAAAGAAAATTCTGAATATTGACATCCTTCTCCTCTTTGCAGGCTCCACAATACTCGCTCATCGGGGCATCAGAAGTGTTCATGTACGTGGGTCAGCTTGAGTTCTTCAACGCGCAAACACCAGACGGACTAAAGAGCTTCGGGAGTGCTCTGTGTATGATGTCAATGTCGATGGGGAACTTTGTGAGTAGCTTGTTGGTGACAATGGTGGTGAAGATCTCTACAGAGGATCACATGCCTGGTTGGATTCCAAGGAACCTCAACAAAGGTCACTTAGACAGATTCTATTTCCTCTTGGCTGCGTTGACCAGCATTGACCTGGTGGTATACATTGCCTGTGCAAAGTGGTACAAACCTATAAAACTAGAAGGAAAAGATGAGATGCAAGACATGAGTGATGATGACGATGACACCGAGAGCGAAGAGGAACGAGAGAAGGATTCTAAAGTCTAACAAAATGTATGTTTGGTTTTCAGTTTTCCAGTAATGTAACAACAAACTGATTCATAAATAAAAGCCTAAATCGGATTAGTCTTTTTCATCGAAAAGACTTCTTCTTTGTGTTATATGGGTTACTCTTACCAGTAAGTAATAAGATGAGTGAGACAGAAATCCTCCATGACATATCAAACATTTAGGTACTCAACTAAAACTAGGAAAAAAAGAGCTTCAATAACTTAAAAATATATATGGTTGTTTGTTTCACTGTGAGTGATTCAAAAAAATATGGATAAAAGTGTGTAAGAGAAAGAAAGCCGAGTAAAATCAAGATGTTGTGTAGCTGAAGAAGTAAAAACATCATCCACCTATCTTTATCTTACGGACTTGTATGAGATGTGTTGATTCTTCACGCCAAATGGGCTGCGAGCCGCTTTGGACAAGAGTTACATGTTGTCCTTCCTTGAGCATATGCTCGTCCTGAGTGATTTATAACAGTTAAGTGTTAGCAAAACTGCGTCTGCAATTAGAGAAAATGTAAGGTTTGATAGATGAGAAGGAACATGGTTAATGTACCTGTAAGAGTTTCAGAGACCGAGCATATGTATCTTCTGCATCATCCGAGAACTCCATATATATAGGCATGACACCTTGATAAAGAGCCAACCTTTGCATTATCCTTCTCCTAAAGGAAAGAAACCAGTAGATAAGATCAAAACCCATTTCATCAACGAAAAGTTGCATACGTAGGACATTTTCTGATTGACAGATAAACAATCACTTACTGGTTTGTGAAGGCGAAAATTGTTGCTGATGGGCGGTAATGGCTTAGAAGCACTGCCATGGATCCGGTTCTCGTGAATACAATTAGCGGTGAGCTCAGTGTATTTGCCATTATAGAAGCATGAAAAGCAAACATTTGGCCCATGTGACCCTGTAGCAAAAATGTCATTAATAATATTAGCATTTGACTAACATACCATATTTAGTATTTCTGATATGAAGAATGTGTGAGTGAGTACCTTGTAAGCAGTGGTACGGGTTGCAGAGGTTCTGACAGGTAGACTTGCCTCAGTTCTCAACGCCACAGTATGCATTACGTTAACAGCTTTCAGCGGAAACCTAACATCCGAGAATTAAAAGACAAGAACATTCAAGATCACATGACATGTAAGTTATATTGACGGAAAAGGTAAGGTTAATTCGAAATACGAACTTTCCGTGTGCGGTTTCACCAGAAAGCATGATTGCATCTGCACCTTCACGTACTGCAATTGCAATGTCAGAGACTTCAGCTCTTGTAGGCGTTGGATGATTAATCATACTCTCTAGCATGTTTGTGGCCACAATCACAGGTTTATGGATGCTTCTACACCTTCTGATTATCTCTTCCTAAAATTAAGGCAAATTAGCAAATGCATAAATACAAAGAGTCCAAGGTACTGTTTCGTAAACAAAGTCTTGGATTTTACCTGTAACAACGGGACCTCTTCAATGGGAAGTTCAGCTCCAAGATCTCCACGAGCAACCATCGCCTGACAAAGCATTGATAATTATCTAAACTAAGGACTAAGCATCGATAAAATATTCCTCCTGATCACAGAAAAGACTTTCAAACCTACCCCATCACAAGCAGATATGATAGAAGGAAGATTCTTTATAGAGTCTGCGCTTTCAATTTTCACAATCACCGATATATCCGCACTGCAGGCTAGCAAAACATTTGGAAGTTTCATTAGTTTTAAAGAAATTTCACCAGTGCCATAGGAGATTGAAGAAAAAGGGACAGACTTACTTTTGAGATAGTTCTTTAACTCATGGACAACTTTAGCATCCTTAACAAAGGAGACGGCATAGAAATCGACTTGGTTGTCCACTCCAAATTTTATGTCTTCCCAATCTTTGTCTGCAGTGGAGTTAAAACCAGAATATAATCATTCCAAAACACTGAATAAGAAAAGGCTCCTTGATGCAAGATATTGGGATAACATTAGCTGGTATCAACCTGTTATGGAAGGAAGAGTCGCACTCTTTCCTCTAACATTCAAGTGACGTCTAGATTGAAGCTCTCCACCATCAATAACCACACACTTCACCAAATCGCTCGTCTTTGATTTAACAGCTAACGACATCATTCCACCTAATACAAAGAACACAAGAAGCCATCTCTTATTACAAATGAACCAAAACAAAGACTCCAGTAACCACAAAGATACCAGTACTCTTACCATCCACCAAAAGTATGTCCCCAACTTCAACATCATTAACAAAATCATCATAATTTACACTAACAGTGTCCTTAAGCGAAACACCTCTCTTGATAGTAAAATTAAACTCTTGACCCTCTTCAAGAAATATCGGCTGAGGTACATCCCCGCTCCGAACCTCAGGACCCTTCACAAAACATGGCATACATAAATATTAAAAATCAAAACTTTCATAACATTTTATCACAATTTAGATAAAAGATTATACCTTTGTATCCAACATAATAGCAATAGCTTTGTCAACAAACAAAGAATTATATTCCTTAACTAAATCAATAGTCTTCTGATGAGAAGCATGATCACCATGAGACATATTCAAACGAGCCACATTCATTCCCGCTTCCGCGAGCTTCCAAATCATCTCCCGAGAACTCGATGACGGTCCAATCGTACACACAATCTTAGTCTTCCTCCTAGAATCATTATTACTTGTTCTTGAATCCGCCAATCTATATGATGAAGAAGAATCCAACACTTCCTATACAATGAAACCCAAAATTCAAAATAGTAACAATCAGATTGAATCCTACATCGAAACAGAACGTGACAAACAAGAAAACAAAAATTAGCAATTAGGGAAAAAAAAATCAAGAAATTCACTAACCATATCGAAAGCGCCGTTATCAGCATAAGCTTTAACTTTGCTGTTATCTTCGGTGATTTTAATCGATCTAACGGAGAGAGAACATTGACGGAAGGAGATAGTAGACCTACCTCCGGCGCCGATTAGTGTTCGCCGGAGTGGTGATAGTGAAACTCCAATGTTTCTGGAGGAGGAGAGAATCTGAGGATCTACAGTCATTCCCGAGGAGATTTGACCTAAAGCCGCCATGTGTAGAGAACCTGAGGAACAGAGGAGATGCAGAGGAGAGACAGAGAAGGAGGGGCGGAGAAAGAGAGAGAGAGGGTTTTTGTTTTCTTGTATTGGTTTGTTTTTGTTTGGTAGACAGTTACACTGAACCCTCTGACTCAGAGAGAACCAGTGAATAATTTCTGATATTTTTCTCAACTATATTCGCATATACCAAAGTATTTATGAAATGGAAATAATGAAATTATACGAATTTTTTTAATGTGAAAGCTAAGATTTTATTGTCGCTCTAAGATTAGCTGAAATGCTTTGGTGTTAAACCAAGAAATTCTGTCTCCTCTATAACAGATTTCTTATTTTCTCTGTTGCTGGTGGTATTGAATTTGTGATTTTGTGGTAAGATAAATTGGTAAGTAAGTTTTTCTAAAATTTATAAATCAGCATCAATATTTTTTACTTGATATTATATATGAGGTTTTCCAACATGTGGGTTTTAATATGCGTAGTGACACAACGACGATAATTAACACAAACTACATAATCTAGTCAACTAAATAGATTACAACTAATTTTTTTTTTTTAAATAGACTACAATTAGAATGTTTCAATCAAACATCTATGAGCGTTAGTATATTTGCAATCTTATTAGTCAAAATTAGGGTAATTTAAATCAGTCTTTAAATAAAACTCCAATTCTCTACCCAGATAAATAAAATGCAATTGTTGTGATAAGTTCAAAAAAACATTGTCGGCAATTTTCCAAAAAAAAAAAGAAAAAAGAAAATTTAATTTGTATGTAAGTGGTATAAAAGAATTACTAAACAAATACAGCTAGACAAACTAAAGCTAACTTATGTGCTTCACTTAAGTTCTCAGCAATGACACAGAGAGTCAACAGTTTCTCTTCTTCCAAATTTCATTAGCACAAAAGATTGGCAAAATCATTAGAGCAATTTCACAAGCTGACTTATTACCAGAGAGAAACACATGAGCTTCCATTAACCACAATCCAACTAAAATACTGCTCTCTTCTTCACACCTAACCCCATCTCCTTCTCCATCTTATACCTCCCTAAACCCGCATACACGTCGCATAGACGTGTCCCGGTGCATTAACCGGTTCCAGCGCCAGCAACAGCATCGTAGGCTGTTCCGCTACGCCTCTTGCATGCATCTCTATCTCTCCAGTTGAGCCTGCATGTATAAGCCTAGCAATACGCCATAGACTGTAGAGTGATCTACTCTCTTGATGTATTGTAATGCTCGATCCCTGGTCAATAATTGTGTAGAAATTAGTTAAGAATTATATTTTCTAAAAAGAAAAATAAAAATAAATAAATAATAAACACGAATGGAGAGAATATAGATCCCAAGAATATCTTTAGATTTGTAAAATCCAGATATTATGTAGTAAAACAAAAAAGAAAGTAAAATATTGATTTTTGGAGATTTATATGTGAACAAATCGGTTGGAAACCCTAGTTAAGAAAACTTATCATTAAAGAGTAGTCTATATGAAAAAAAATAGTGTGACTTACACAAACTAATGGCGAATAAGGAGAAGCTTCCATGGGATATGGTGGAAGAGATCCTATCTCGTGTCCCTCCTACTTCTCTTGTCCGATTCAAAACCGTTTGCAAACGATGGAACACTCTTTTCAATGACAAAAAGTTCATCAACAATCACAAGATGACGTTTCAATTCATTTTAACAACTACATCCAAGATTTATTCGGTAAGCGTCAAACCCAAGGTAGAGGTGCATGAGTTAACCTTAAATACTCCCGGTTTAAAAGCTCAAATACCTGAATTCTTGGCTGATACCAGTGGATTCTTGCTTTGTGACGTGGGTAATGGAGCTGTGGTTTGGAACCCTTGGTTAAGACAGACTAGATGCATCGAGCCCGAGGTTAACCAACCTAGTTTGGATTTTGTTGGCATAGGTTATGATAATAATAAGAGAGTTGAGGAAATTGTTTACAAGACCCTTTCCGTTTATATGAAGGACTTAGGCTCTACCGATACGTGGAAAATCCATGACTTTGCCTCCGATACGTGGAAAGATGAAGATTTAGACGAAGCAAAATATAGTGAACTTGTTACCGTTAACTATAACTTAACAAGTGTTGTATCGTTGAATGGAACTTTGTATTGGGTTGCTTATAATGATGACAAGACTCATGATACTGATCTCTTCTTGTTCTACGTACTTAGCTTCAATTTTTCGAGCGAAGAATTCTTGAAGTTTTGTGATCTACCAAGTGGGAAGAACAATGCTTGCGATGCTCTTGTCCTAAGGGTTTTTAGGGAAGATCGTTTTTCGTTGTTGAAGCAGTGCCATGTGACAAAGAAGATAAAGATTTGGGTGACCAAGAACAAGATTGATAATCGGTATGGTGGGGATGTGAAATGGATGAGTTTCATGGAGGTGTCAATTCCTAACATGCCGGATTTAGTACAAACCAAATTCTACTATCAGCCAAGTTACTTTATTGACGATAAAAGGCTCGTCATTTGTTCTTGTGATGAAACTGGTCGGGCATGGATCTATGTTGTAGGGGAAAATAAGTTGATCAATAAAGTTCGCTTGGATTCTGTGGCCGATCCTTGGCCTTTGCATTGTACCTATTTTCCCAATTTGGTCCTAATTCCTGGACGGCAAAGAGAAGAAGCAGAATTACAAGTTCAATTTCAATTTCCTTACTTTTTGTTTCTTTTTTGGTTTTCTTCTTCAATTTTTTCCCTTATCTTTTTTCGTTTTTGGTTTAATTTATAAGGAAGTTCTAAACCCTTAGCCTGTAATCTCTCTTGGCCTCGGATCCGGCTTTAGTTCTTTATTTGGTTGTTTCGGAAGCTAAAACTTCGTTTAGCGTTTTCTTTTGGCAAAATAAATTATTTTTGATAGTTTAAAACAGACTAGATTGAAACATGTTTAGTGGACTCAGTTTAACTCTAGTGTTCCTGAATTCGATTCGGAAGTAATATTATTTTGAAGAATTTGTTAGCTTTCAGTTCTTGTTGGATTACTAAAGCTTTTGGGATATATAGTTTTAAAATGGTTATGTTTAGATCTTGCAACAAAAGAGTTTTGTACATATTTTCTGTTTTACATGTTGTCATGTGTTCCCAGTTTGAGGAATTGTATTGTCTCAACATGAATAAAATCATATTTATCGAAACATGAATCATCTTTTTACAGTTCACGTATATAGGCAACGCAAGGATACTGTGAAAGACTACAAAAGGTCAATCCGCAGACGTATTGATACACAGCCTAGCAACTTCATCTTAATATAACTAACCTAACCTATGTTTCGTTCAACATAAGTTAACCATAATTAAATAAAGAAGGATCAGCTTAATTAATTTGTATGAGAAGAAGCTACAGGCGCATTGTATTCTCGACAAGATTCGAAACAGCCCATATAAGAAGAAGATGTTTACGTTCACGCTCTATATCCTCCACCATTGTACCTTCCACCTCAACGCATCTCATACTGTTTCGCTTTGGATCATAATAGAAAACATATAATGTCTCGTAACATTTTAACATCGCATTGACAAAAACGATCTCACCACCATGCGTGACTCCCGAGATAGGCCAGTTTTCAAAACCCTCCATCTCATAAAAGATAATCTTGGACCAGTCTTGTTTCTTGTCAGCATCCTCCATAACCCAAATTTCTACACCCTTCTTGCAACACATGAATCCTAACTTGCCTTGATAGTTTATCATAGTGCAATGGTGATCCATTATTTCCGGAGTCTTGACATAATTAAATTTCTCGGACCTTACATCAAAACTCACCAAGAAATATGTCGAACCGCGATATTTATTACTTGCTCGATAATAGATAACCCCGTCGATGCAAACCGAAGGTTTCAACGGAAAGTGAAGTCCAATGCCTTGGATGTCTCTCCAAGACTTCTCCATAGGATCTCCCACTGTGAAAACTTGACAAGGATCCTCCTCCATATGGAATTTTGGTAGGACCATTACTTTGTATAGATTTTCGAGACGGTCGTATCCAAAGAAGCAAGTGTCTATGTATTGGTACCGGTTTGTATCCGGTACGGTATAGTACTGCCTCGTGGTAGGGTTATATATGTCTAACGTAGTAGGACAGGCTGACCAACAACAAATCAAGCCGCGAACATAGTGATATGATCCGGCTCTGGTTGTTACTGATTCTTTGTCCATATTTTGAGGGTAAGTAGACGAGAAGATGAAGAAATTAGGTTCCGGGTAATTTACTTGGTGGTGGAAGATGAGTTTGGTATCACACGGCCGCTGATGAGTCAAAGAACGAGACACGATCGAGTCTATGAAGTCTTTACGGCTGCTGATAATTGATAACCATTGCTTGGAGACGCATTGAAACCTCAAGAGAGACTTTGCCGGTAGTTTCTTGAGTATATCCACCGTTATATCCAGAGGGATATTGACATTGATACATTTTTCTTCGGTTGAGATTTCACGGGGGCGAAGATGTTGTGTAGACGATGCTGAGGAGGTCTTGTGGTTGTTTTCTTCGTTTCCTCTCTCCATCACGTCCTAAATTTAGAAGAACAAAATATTTGTATGGTTCCTTTTGTAGTTCTTTTTAGGAGGGGTATTCAATGACAGAATTTAAAAGAATTAAAATGAATTGAAAAGTGAAATATTTTAAAGTATATTTGACAAATTTTATCCAAATGAGTCAATACACCGGTGGGATTTGATTCTTCACATTTTTTACTTTAGATTTCTACAAAATTTTAATCAAATGACATTTTTAAAAGAACCTATGAAATACACAATTGAATAACACTAGATTTATATAGAACTAGCATTACGCCCGTGCTATGCACGGACATAGTATTTATTTAATTTTTTATATTAAAATTTAAACATATTTTGGCATCTAACATTTATTTTGGTGTAATCTAAATATTTTAATAATTGGGGAATTTAATCAAATTCTAATGTAAGAGAGTATATATATTTCATAAAGTTTTAACAAAAAGCAAAATAAATAAAAAAAATAAGCTACTAATCTAATTAATTGGTTGGGGTGAGAATAAATAAAAAAACAGAAATTGGAGATGGTAAATTGATACCTTTGGGATGAGAAAAAGTCACTGATTTCTGAGAGTAATCGATGTATGATGATGAGAAGACCATTCTTGAGGTTTTATACATACAGTAGTCATGGAGATTTTGGAGGAGAAGAAGTGGAAGAGGTGGAGATCGTGGGGATGAAAGAAAATAGGGTTTTGAGAAGGAAAAAAAAAAAAGCTAAAAAACGAATGGATATTTTATCTGTTATTATAATTCTTTTATTATAATTTTTGAATTAAACAAAATCTTGCGTGAAAAAAAAGAAAGAGTAAGAAAATTGGACTTAAGCTGATGTGTCAATCAGTAAATGCATCAGTTATTGAAAAATTGACTGTTGATTTAGTATAATTAGATTCTAAAATTCGTTCTAATTCAATCAAAATAAGATGTGGAAATCCCCTATCAATTATTGGAGAGAGGACAATTTTTTTTTTAGTACGAGTGCTTTGAGAATAACTTAAATATCTAGTATTTATTTGAAACTAAATTAATTTCTATAGTTAAGTGATATTATTAAATACTAGGACTCCGGACCCCCGCGATGTCGCGGGGAAAAATATTTCAAAAATCGTTAAAAAAATAATAATAACGATGGTAGATGATTAAATGTTATAACGATTTATAAAATAAACTTAAAGTTTTAATTTTTCGTGAAATAAACTAAATGTTGCAATGGTTCAACTAAACGGCTGCAATCATTTTATGAAAAATTACGATAAAAAGATGCAACCGTAAAAAATATTTACTCGGATTGCAACTTTCTAAAAAAAACACAGCGTAAAATAATTTTTTTAGTTTAAAAAGAAATAAATGAAATGTTGCGATATATCAAAAGTTGTAGCGGTTTGTCAAATAAACTAAAGATTACAACGGTTCGTAAAACAAAACCAAAAATTGCAATGATTGGTCAAATAAACCAAATGTTTCAACGGTTCAATTAAACGATTACAATCTCATTTAAATGCATTTTGGTAATTAAAAATTAAAAATATTAATTTATGAAAATTATACCGAAAGACGCGACGGTAGATAATTAGATGTTATAGCAATTTGTAAAATAAACCAAAGGTTGCAATTGTTCGTGAAATACAAAACAAAATATATAAATCAAAGGTTGCAATCTTTCGTGAAATAAACTATATATATAAATCAAAGGTTACAATTGTTTGTGATATAAACTAAAGGTTGCAATTGTTCGTGAAATAAACTAAATATTGCAATAATTCGAATAAAAGGTTGCAACTGTTTATGAAGAGGTACAATAAAAAGAAGCAACCGCAGAAGATATTCGGATTGCAATTTTCTAAAAAACATACCCGTAAAATATAAATTTTAGTTTAAAAATTAAAAATATATCCATATGTAAACTATGAAATAAACTAATTTTATATGTAGTTTATTGGTTTACGTAAAAAGTAATTCAATAAAACAACATGACCGTACAAAAATAACTGTAAGAAAAACAACCATAAATATTTAAACGAAAGGTTGCAATAAAAAAACACAACCGTTCAGATGTACAAATGGTATTTATTGGAAACGACATAACCGTAAAAAAATAACCGATTAAAACGAAAATTACGATAAAAAGACGCAACCAAAATCTATACATTCTTATTATACAATTTGTTATATTAACCATGAATTTATTTTAATAGAATGTATTTACAATTTGCACACTGGAATGAAATTTAAGTTAAACCTTAATGACCGAACAATTAACTCTTTTTTCTATAAATTTATTTCAACAAAAGAATTATTTTGAAGAGAAGTTTACATTAAATTTTTTTTTCTAAGTCACAACAAAATAATACTGAAAAACAAATGTTTAGAAAAAGACGTTATTGAAAAAGAGGTTGTGAGTTCCGTGATGGAGATTTCTAAATTTCGAAAATTATTTTTCTGGTGGAAGGAAGAATCGGCGATGTACACAAATTGGATATTACAGTATCCTTGGGAGGTTGAACATAATTCATTTATTTGTCTTTTTATTGCTTGATTTTCATTGTGCAATGTGTGATGTATTTATTTGTCTTACATTATTGAATTGTATTTCTTGTCTCCAACGAAAACATTGATTTAGCTGATTTTAGATAATTTAGGGACATTAGTTCCGACTTTGCTAAAAAAAATTAGATTTTGGCAACAACATATATCTAGTAACAAATCAGCTTCGATTCGTTCATGCACCTTGGTTCAATTTGTAATATCTAAATTCAAAGTTCTTAAATTTTTTAAACATATGCCTCTTTTCATATAACTTTTGGTTATGTTCGGATTCCGTCAGTTATTCGTACAAAATTTTATATAAAGAAAATAAATTTTTGCAAAGAAATACATGGGCAATTAGTATTAATAAAGAAAAACTCAAGAAAGCATTAATTCAACTAAATACCGAAAGATAAAAGTGATGATGAATATGTCATTGCACATTCATGAAAGTGGATGTAAACGCTAATAATATTCTTCATATACATATTTCCACTTTTTTAATATACATCGCCTTACAATCAAATACACCATACATATTTTGTATAGATGTAAATTTTTAAATTTTATGTGTTTTTTTTTATGTATATTATTTAAAAATGATATTAATAAAATCACATTTGTCACATTCATTTTCATTTGTAATTGGCTTTTTCTAATTACACTATTTTCACATACTATTTGAATCATGCACATCGCATCAAGTCACATACATCATAAATTATCTATGTGAACATATCTTTTACTTTATTTTTAACACACTATTTTACATTAGTATTAAGTTACAGTTGCATGTACATTAAATTTTTATCTCATAATTCACAAGTCGATTCACAAAAATCTGTATCCTTCTCAATCTGACACATGTCTTAAGTCCCAAATTTTCATCTTTCACATTTTTAAACAATTAAAATTTACTTAAAAAAGAGAAATTTACGACATAATTTTTTATATATACAACCGCTACACATCTCTTCCTCCACGATCCAGTGGCGAAGTAGCGGAGGTATGTAGAACATATTGACCCCCATAATTTTTTTTATTTTTTTTATATATGTTATATCAACAATTACATTGACCCGAATTAAAAATAACTTTTGACCCCCTATGCAAAACTAACTCAACTACATAAAAAAATAAGGAGAAGCTAACCTATTAGGATTCATGTACAAACATAATTAAGAACCAAAGTAATAAAGTATTTATATATGATTTACACTAAAACATTCATCTCAATTGTGGAATAACTTTTGGGTGAAGATATCTATGTTTTTTCCTATACGTATGACTTTTATTTTCACTTTTTTTACAAATAAAAAAATATATTTAAACTCACATAATTGTATCACTAAATCATATATATGAAAGTTGGCCAACTCACTAAATCATACATCATCACACCGTAGTCACCCACGGTGGCTCCGCCATGGACCTCGGGCACATTCTTGCCGTGAACGAGGTATTGATATGCCGGTTCTACACACATAGCTTCACATATTTTCATTTTCATTTTGGAGATAGTGTCGGTTTTTTCAACGTTGACACGGTAAGTCTCCCTAGTGATGGTTTTAATAAACACTTGCATTTGCAAAAAAAGAAGAAAAAAAACGAGTCAAAGATTGTAAGTTTAATAACTTAAGTGTTGAACACACACATATATATACACTAACCTTGAGATATAGAGGATTTTTTTTTCTTAGAGGAGGAAATAGAGTTTGAGCGAGTAAATAAATCTCCAAGTCTCCTTCTTCATATAGAGAATGAGTTTGGGGTGGAAAAAAAATAAATAAAGAATAATTAAAATGTAAATAATATTGATTTTAGAGGACACATTTGTAATTGTAAAAACTCACCATAATAAACATGGACAAAATCACCCATTCAATCTCTATCAATATCAAATTCAGCAAAATATTATTGTTGTCAATAAATAAGACTGGTGGGAGTTTACGAAGACTTATGGATGGAAGAGATGTACACACTCTCTTTCTCTGCATTTTACTTCATATAATATGTGTGTGTAAAATTAGCAAAAAAAACCCATGAGAAATCTAATAAAATAATTTCTTTAAACTTTTACATATAATAATAAAATAAAGTTAGTATTAATACATAAATATATAAAATTATATAATATGTACTTAAATAATAAATGTATCATTAACCTATGAAATAAAAAAACATTAAAGCTTACATTAATTATTTAGTGGACACATGGCAAATGATAAAGTGATGATGTGTCACTCATATGGAGAGAGTTAGCCAACTTTCATATATATGATTATAAATGCTTTCATAGTCATGTAATCTAATCCTCTATATATTTATAGAGATTTTATTTTTTGATGTGATAAATCCACAATTTTTCTCACTTTTTTTTTTAGTTCTACTATCACATTTGTCAAACAAATAGTTCCTTATCTTAATCCTCTTTAAATCACTAACCAAATACACCTCATTTTATTTTAATATGTCTAGAATTTTCAATTTTTGATTTTTTAAATTTCTCTATTATTACCATATATATGATATTTCGAAATTCCATTATATTTAATGCTTTGATTTTTTTGAAATATACTTTAAATTTGAACATAAAACATCATCTATATAAAATTAAATAGCACAAGATTTACATGTGCATGGAACCGGATTCTTACCTAGTATCTAATAATTAAAAAACCATTCTGCAAAAAAAAAAGATGGAAATAAAATAAAAACAAATAATAAACAGAAATGAAGAGAATATGGATCTCATAAATATACTAACAAATATGTGTTTAATAAAATCCAGATTTTATAAAAATAAAAAAGAGAGTAAAGTCTGGATTTTTGGAGATATATGTTATGAACAATCATGAGATACCCCAATTGTGAAAGCTTTATAAGTAATCAATTTAAACACATAGTAACTTGAAAACAAAATACCTAAATGGCGAATAAGGAGAAGCTTCCATGGGATTTGGAGGAAGAGATCCTATCTCGTGTCCCTCCTACTTCTCTTGTCCGATTCAGAACCGTTTGCAAACGATGGAACACTCTCTTCGATGACAAGACGTTCATCAACAAACACAAGATGACGTTTCAATTCGTTTTAAAAACTAGATCCAAGATTTATTCGGTTAGCGTCAATCCCAAGGTAGAGGTGCGTGAGTTAACCCTAAATACTCCCGGTTTAAAACCTCAGATACCTAAAAGCTTGGTTAATACCAGTGGATTCTTGCTTTGTGGCATGGGTGAAGGAGCCGTGGTTTGGAACCCTTGGTTAAGACAGACTAGATGCATCGAGCCCGAGGTTAACCAGCCTAGATTGAATTTTATTGGCATAGGTTATGATGATAGTAATAGGAGAGTTGAGAAAATTGTTTACAAGACCCTTTCCGTTTATATGAAGGACTCTTCTCATACATGGAAAATCTATGACTTTGCCTCCGATGCGTGGAAAGACCAAGAGTTTAGAAGTATTACTCTGGGAATTAAAAAATGTTTTATTGTTGACTTAACAAGTGTTGTATCGTTGAATGGAACTTTGTATTGGGTTACTTATGATGAAATGACTCATGATACTGATCATCCCTTCTTGTTCATCTTACTTAGCTTCAATTTTTCGAAAGAAAAATTCTTGAAGTTTTGTGATTTACCAAGTGGGAAGAATCATGCTCGCGATGCTCTTCTCGTTAGGGTTTTTAGGGAAAATCGGTTTTCGTTGTTAAAGCAGTGCCATGTAACAAAGAAGATTAAGATTTGGGTGACCAAGAACAAGATTGATGATCAGTATGGTGGGGATGTGGAATGGATGAGTTTCATGGAGATGTCAATTCCTAACATGCCGGATTTAATACAGACCAAGTCTTATTCTCAGCCAAGTTACTTCATTGATGATAAAAGGATCGTCATTTGTTCTTGTGATGAAACTGGCCGGGCTTGGATTTATGTTGCGGGGGAAAATAAGTTTGTCAGTAAAGTCCAATTGGATTCTGTGACTGATCCTTGGCCTTTGCATTGTACCTATATTCCCAGTTTGGTCCTGGTTCCTGGAGGTCAAAGAGAAGAAGCAGAATTACATGTTTAATTTCCTTACGTTTGGTTTCATGTTTGTTCGGTTTTTGGCCTTCTTCTATATTTTTCCTTTTGTCTTTTTTTTTTTTGTTTTTGGTTTATAAGGAAGTTCTAAACCTTTAGTCCATAATCTCTTTCGGCCTTGGATCCGCCTTTAGTTCTTGTTTGGTTGTTTCGGAAGCTAAATTTTTGTTTTGCATTTTGTTTTGCAAAAATTATTTTTGATTTTGAAGAATGTTTAGAGAACTCAGTTTAACTCTAGTGGTCCTGAATTCGATTCAGAAGTAATAATATTTCGAAGAATTTGTTAGCTTTCACGTCTTGTTGGATTACTAATGCTTTGGGATAGTATTAAAATGGTTATGTTTAGATATTGCAACAAAAGAGTTTTGTACATGTTTTCTATTTCACATGTTAATATGTTATCATCATGTGTTCCCAGTTTGAGGAATTGTATTGTCTCCACATGAATAAAATCATATTGAAGAAATAAAACATGAACCATCTTCTTACAGTTCATATTTGTAGCCAATGCAAGGAGGTTGAAAAGACTACAAAAGAACAATCCACAGACCTATTGATACACTGCCTAGCAACTTAATCAGTATTTTGTAGAGGGTAAGTGTATGAAGAGATGAACAAAGAATCAAGTAACCGAGTACGTTGGAAAATCAGAAAAGGCTGAGTATGTTCAAAATTATATAGAGGATAACCACAATTTGACCATAAGAGAAAAGATCATATAAGCAAATGCAACGAATCCTACAAAGATATTATATCACGAACAACATTCAACTTCACTTCGAATACACGCAAGTACCTCTTCTGTCTCTTCTTTCTTCTTCCTTAATTTACTTTGTTTGTGTCAAGAAATTCGATATGTTTTGCTTTGCTAAACTAATTAAGATTGGCTAAAACACAAAAGTAATACCATATATCCTTGCTTTATTAATGACTGAAAAAAGAAAATAATATAACTAGCCTAACCTGTTTCGTTCAAGACAAGTTAACCATAATTAATATGGAAGGTCAGCTTAATTAGTAGGAGAAAGTATACCTTGTGAAAGGAAGTTACAAGCGCATTGTATTCTCGACAAGATTCGGAACAGCCCATACACGAAGATAATGTTTACTTTCACCCTCTACATCCTTCACCATTGTACCTTCGACTTCAACGTCTCTCATACTATTTCGCTTTGGATCATAATAGAAGACATATAATCTATCATAAGTTTTTAACATCCCATTGATAAAAACGATCTCACCACCATGAGTGACACCCGCAATACGCCAATTTTCTAAACCCTCCATCTCATAAAAGATAATCTTGGACCAATCTTGTTTCTTCTTCGCATCCTCCATAACCCAAATTTCCACACCCTTCTTGCAACACATAAATCCTAACTTCCCTTGATAGTTTATCAAAGTGCAAGGGTGATCCATCAGTATTTCCGGAGCCTTTACATGATTAAACTTCTCTGACCTTACATCAAAACTCACCAAGAAAAAAGTAGAACCGCGAAGTTTATTACTTGCTCGGTAATAGATAACCCCGTTGATGCAAACCGCATGTTCTAATGGAAAGTGAAGTCCAATGCCTGGGATGTCTCTCCAAGGCTTCTCCATGGGATCTCCCACTGTGAATACTTGACAAGGCTTTTCCTCCATATCGTACTTTGGTAAGACCATTACTTTGTATTGATTTTCGAGAGGGTCGTATCCAAAGAAGCAAGTGTCTATGTATTGGTATCGATTTGTATCCGGTACGGTATAGTACTGCCTCGTGGTAGGGTTATATATGTCTACCGTAGTAGGAAAGTCTAACCAACAACAAATCAAGCCACGGACATAGTGATACGATCCGGCTCTAGTTGTTAATGATTCTTTGTCCGTATTTTGAGGGTAAGTAGACGAGAAGATGAAGAAATTAGGTCCAGTATCTACTTGTTGGTGGAAGATGAGTTTGATATCACGTGGTGGCGACTGAGTCAAAGAACGAGTCACGATCGAGTCTATGAAGTCTCTACGGCTGCTGATAATTGATAACCATTCCTTCGAGACGCATTGAAACCTCAAAAGAGACTTTGCCGGTAGTTTCTTGAGTATCTCCACCTTTAGATCCAGAGGGATATTGACATCGACGCACTTTTCTCCGGTTGAGATTTCACGGCAGCGAAGAAGTTGCGTAGACGATGGTGAGGAGGTCTTGTGGTTGTTCTCTTCGTTTCCTCTCTCCATTACGTCTATTTTTTTTTTTTGTAAAGCCTTGCCCTAAATTGGAAGAATAATATATATTTTTTTTGGTAAGGAATGGAAGAATAATATAGTTGTATTGTTCCTTTTATATATATATATATATATATATTTAAGTTGTCCAAAAAAAATATATATCCTATTTGGTATTTTCCAGTTTTATGATTGTGAGTAATAAAAAACAACTGGATTTTAAATGATTTAGAAATCCAAAGTAAAATCAATGCGTTATTGTATTCTTGTTTTTAAAACCTTTAATTGTAGAGCTCTCAAAATGGGCAGGCTGATGGGTTGTTCGTGTCCAACACCTAATAGACCGGTCATGGACAAGCCCATTTTGACATGGATGTTAGTAGGCATGATCTTTAATGGACATAGTCGTTAATGGACTAGACGTAATGGACATGGACGGCCCAATACATTCAAAATGTTAGGTCAAATCAATTTAGGGAAAAATCGAAATTCATTTAGTCATTTACTAAGTTTCTTAAAATCGAAATCAGAGATTTCTCCGGCGATATCCTCGCATATCTCTTGTCTCCATGGCTTCAACACATCAATCTCATCAACTTCTTTCGATTTAGATGAGAACATTTGCGATTTAGGTTTTTTTTTCAAAAACTTACGTTTTTCAAAATTTGTTCTAATGGTGGCCAATGGACAGCCCGTTTGGACATGGACGTTAATAGGCATGGTCCTTAATGGACATGGTCGTTAATGGACATGGTCACTATTTGTCCATAACTAAAATGGTCAGTATTGGACCGAGCTAATGGACATGGACAGCCCATTTTGACAGCTCTATTTAATTGTCGACGTGGTATTATTAATTCAGGGTGTATTCAATCATAGATTTTAAATGATTCGAGTTTTTATATAATTTTGATGATTTTACGACGTTATTATGATTTATTATAAATATCCTCCTAAAACCAGAAGATATAGATTTATGTATTTTAAACTAAAGAAATCCTCTGAAATCCATTAGAAATCCAATCCTCAAATTATTTTCAATAATAGTTGATTTTAAAGTAGATTTCTAAATCATTAGTTCAATAACATTGGATTTCATTAGACTTCTTAAATTCCATGATTGAACATATGATTTGTTATTTTAACACGAACCATTTACAATATTTGATTGAATACATCCCATCGATCATTTCTAAATACAAGTTAAAATCAGATGTTATTCGTTTAATGATTTATTATTGGATTTCAAAATCCACATTAGATTTTAAATTGTTTTGAAAGTAAAAAATAGAAAATTTTAAATCTCTGATTTAAACCATGTTTTTCAGAAAGCTATAAATAAGAAGTTTTACCGGTTTTAGTTTGTTTCACTTTATTTGATTTTTTCAGTTAAATATTAAATATTTAAATATTAGAGGGAACGTATAAAGTTAACTTAAATATTTAATATTTAACTGAAAATAAATTAGTTTCTATAATTAAATGATTTCATTAAATATAATTTTTTTTTACTGTAAATCACTTATATTATATCATAAAAGTTTACATGATACACAAAACCATTCAAATACAACCATTGAAACTAATAAAAGAAACAAAAAAAACCATCTGCAAAAAAAAAGAAAAAAAAAAGTAATAAAGAATGGAGAGAATATAGAGCTCATAAATACTCCCTCCGTTTCACAAAGAGGGTCATTTTAACACATTTCACACAAATTAAGAAAACATTGAATTATACATATATACCCCTATTTAATAAGTGATTAATGATTTAAATTCAATAAAAAGTAACTTTAAGTTAAGGGTAAATTAGGAAATTCTGCATAAAAATCACAATGTAGAATGACATTCTTTGTGAAACAAAAATCAAACTCTAGAATGACATTCTTTGTGAAACAGAGGGAGTATATATATATTTACAAAATAACAAGTTATCATTTAATAAAATCTAGATTCTGACGGAAAAGAAATCAAGATTTTATGTAAAACAACACAAAAGAGTAAAATTACAACTTTTGGAGATTTTCATGAACAAACGGTTGATGATACCCCAATTGAGAAAACTTTATAAATAGACATTTTGAAAACGTAGTAAGTAGTTACTTGAAAACAAAATACCCAAATGGCGAATAAGAAGAAGCTTCCATGGGATTTGGTGGAAGAGATCCTATCTCGTGTCCCTCCTACTTCTCTTGTAAGATTCAGAACCGTTTGCAAACGATGGAACACTCTCTTCGACGACAAGACGTTCATCAACAAGTCAACAACCACAAGATGATGTTTCAATTCATTTTAACATGCTAGATCCAAGATTTATTCGGTTAGCGTCAATCCCAAGGTAGAGGTGTGTGAGTTAACCCTAAATACTCCCGGTTTAAAACCTCAGATACCAATAAGCTTGGTTGATACCAGTGGATTCTTGCTTTGTGGCATGGGTGAAGGAGCCGTGGTTTGGAACCCTTGGTTAAGACAGACTAGATGCATCGAGCCCGAGGTTAACCAACCTAGCTTGGATTTTCTTGGCATAGGTTATGATAATAATAATAAGAGAGTTGGGGAAATTGTTTACAAGACCCTTTCCGTTTATATGAAGGACTTAGGCTCTATCGATACGTGGAAATCCATGACTTTGCCTCCGGTACGTGGAAAGATGAAGATTTAGACGAAGCAAAATATAGTGAACTTGTTACCGTTAACTATAACTTAACAAGTGTTGTATCGTTGAATGGAACTTTGTATTGGGTAGCTTATAATGATGACAAGACTCATGATACTGATTCCTTCTTGTTCTATTTACTTAGCTTCAATTTTTCGAGTGAAGAATTTTTGAAGTTTTGTGATCTACCAAGTGGGAAGAACCATGCTTGCGATGCTCTTGTCCTAAGGGTTTTTAGGGAAGATCGCTTTTCGTTGTTGAAGCAGTGCCATGTAACAAAGAAGATAAAGATTTGGGTGACCAAGAACAAGATTGATGATCGGTACGGTGGGGATGTGAAATGGATGAGTTTCATGGAGGTGTCAATTCCTAACATGCCGGATTTAGTACAAACCAACTTCTACTATCAGCCAAGTTACTTTATTGACGATAAAAGGCTCGTCATTTGTTCTTGTGATGAAACTGGTCGGGCTTGGATCTATGTTGTGGGGGAAAATAAGTTTATCAGTAAAACCCAATTGGATTCTGTCGTTGATCCTTGGCCTTTGCACTGTACCTATTTTCCCAGTTTGGTCCTGGTTCCTGGAGGTCAAAGAGAAGAAGCAGAATTACAAGTTAATTTTTATTTTTGGTTGCTTTATTTTTTTCCCTTTTTTATGTTTCCTTTATGTTTACTTGTTTTTGGTTAACAAATAAGTTGTGAGCATACACAAACTGTAGTGAACATATGTGCTTAACCCTCAGCAATGGCATAATAGACTCAACGGTTTCTCTTCTTCCTCGTCAAGCATTTCATTACCACAAAAGATTGACAAAACCATCTGACCAGCTTCACTTGCAGACTTATCACCAGAGAGAAACACATTAGCTCTTCCATTTACCACAATCCAACTACATCCTGGTGTCTTCTTCACTCCTTTTATTCCCATCTCTTTCCTCATTTCCTTCTCCATCTCATGCCTCCCTAGTCCTGCATACACGTTGCATAGCGCCACATGTCCCGGTGCATTTACTGGGTCAAGCTCTAGCAACCGCATTGCAGCTCGTTCCGCTATGCCTCCCGCATCTCTATCTCTCCAGTTGAGTCCGCATAAGCCTAACAATGCACCGTAGACCGTATGGTCTGGAGTGAAAGGCAGGGCTGAGATGAATTCCTCTGCTTCTTTTAGTTTTCCAGCTCTGCCTAAAAGGTCTATCATCGAGATGTAATGCTCGACTCCGGGTTGGATCAAAAAGGTTTCCTTCATCGCTTTGAATAGTTCTAAACCTTTGGTGATGAGTCCCGAGTGGCTACAAGCTGAGAGGAGTCCGAGAAAAGTTACAGAGTTCGGTTTCATCCCCGAATCAAGCATCTCTTTGAACAGTTTCAAAGCTTTATCCGCTAAGCCGTGATGCGATAACCCTATGATCACAGAGTTCCACGAAACTGTATCTTTCCGGACCATCTTTGAGAATATCTCATAAGCATCGTCTATGGCTCCGCATTTGGCGTACATAGAGACAAGAGAGTTTTGAAGGATGAGATCAGGATCATAGCAAGCTGTTGTTTTTGCAATCATGCAGTGTAAATGCTTTCCTTGATCGAGATTCGAAGTGGCTCCCGCAGAACTAAGAAGAACAGAGTAAGTTGAGTTCAATGGTTTCAGACCACATCTCACCATATCTGACAGTAGGGATGCAGCTTCTGCAAAAAGCTCGTTTCGGGCAAGACCTGAGATCATAACAGTCCATGTAACCCCATCTTTGTCGTGAAGTTTCTGAAACAGATCAAAGGCCCTCGATACATCACCCGCGTCTAGATATCCATCGATCATCGATGTCCAAGATACTTTGTCGTGTAAGCTCTCGACTCTCCTGAACAGAGTTTCAGCTCGCTCAAAATCCCCGTTCTTAAGATAACCGTTGATAATAATGTTACAAGACTGCAAATCAAAGCTTTCGTTGAGCAGAGAATGCGCTGAAGCAATCAAGCCAAATGATGCATACATATGAACAAGACTTTTCGCCAACCTTCCATCATGATCCATACTTTCCCAACCGTTAGATATAACTTGTGCGTGCAATTGCTCACCAAGACGACGAAATCCAACACCAAGACCACCACAAGTATAAGCAAGAGAGATGAGAGTCTCACCATTTGGTGATATTGCATCAAGATCCTTCTTCATTTCAAGAAAAAGCATCAATGCTTCTCTATAGAACTCATTCCAAGCAAACCCACTAATCATAGCGGTCCAAGAAACGACATTTCTCTCAGGCATTTCACAGAACAATCTATAAGCTTCATGAACATCTCCATACCTACAATAACCATACACCATACTCGTCCAAGTAACTACATTTTTCTCACTCATATTCTCAAACAATATTTTCGCTTCCTCCATTCCATCATTCTCAATATAACCTTTAATCATAGCGTTCCACGACACTACATCTCGGCTAGGCATAGCATCAAACACCTGTTTCGCCTTCTCCATTTCCCCATTCCTAATCAAACCCGTAACCAACGTGTTCCACGAAACCACATTTCTCTCAGGCATTTCATCAAACAACTCGACTGCATCATCACTCCTTCCATCATCACAAAGCGCAGTAAGCATCACAGTCCACGAAACAACGTTCTTCGGCATTTCCCGAAACAATGTCCAAGCCTCATTCAATCTCCTACATTTAACATAACCCGTCAACATCGCATTGCAAGTGACGATATTCCTCTCCGGCATAACCTCAAACAAAACCCTTGCTTCATCCAAGTATCCAGCTTTCGCGTATTTCGTAAGAAGCGAAGTCCAGTAAATGACACGGCTGATACTTCCTCTCTGAGGAATTTTGTCGAGCAAGTGGCGTGCATGTACAAGACCTCCCTCAGATAAACGACGAAGAATAAGAGCTTCTTCATTAGAGAAACCACGACGATGGCTTCCGTAATTCGATCCATAGAATCGACGACAAGATATTGAAGAACTGAGAGATAGTTTCGAGAGAAAGCCACAAACTTTCTTAACACAGAGAGCTCGCATTCAAACTATTTTTAAAAGACTCAGTTTTTAAAAGTGCTTATATATATACTTTGGTAAAGTTTTTGTATTTTCCATTGACACACTAATAAAGAAAATTTTATATATTCCCATATAATAAGTCTGTTCTATACATCAAAAGGAAACAAAACCACAAAAAAAATTCATCTTACATACACTTTTGACACACAAACTCTAAACTTGTGAAAATCCAATCAGCTGAGTGATTCCATAGCAAGAAGATGTTTTCGTTTCGAAGCATCGATCAAACCGGGACGTGATAAAGGCTGGGACTTTGAGGTTGAAACAAATGATGATGAATTTGTGTGTGTTTTAAATGTAGCTGTAATAGTTGTCACTGGCATCTCCTATGCAAATGTAACCCAAGATAGCGACGAGGAAGACAACGTAGGATGAGAGATCAAGGGCTAATGCGCCCCAACCGATGAGTCCAGCGTGTTTTAGAATCGATGGTATTGCGACGCTTCCAACTGCTGATGCACCAGTCAAGAACTTGGCTGCATTGATCCAGCTGCATATAAAAATGTTCATGTACGTTCAACGAGTTTTCCATATACCATGACTTAGAAAGTCGAATATCGTATCGATTGTTCCATACACGTTTATATGAGAGAAAATAATTCAAACAGAAATTCAGAAATGCCAAACGCAAATTGGAGGTCTCCTTCTATTTGTGGTTGATGCATACATTTACTTGGAATGTAACGTAAACGCAAATGCAAACGGAAACAAACAACGGAGGCCAATATATAAATTCCTTACCTATTATCTGACTCGTTGAATAGAGATGTACTGTCTGATCCACCAAAGAAGAGTAAAGGCATTGGGAGGAGCACATACATTATAACTGCAAAGCAAAAGTAGAGAAAGAGTTTAAAAGCTATCACCTTAATATATTATGGATTTTTCAAGTTCACTGACACTTTTTATGTAACCAAACAAGATTTAAAACAGTCTACCTTCATCGATACAAAATGCAGTTTTCAAGTCAAACTAACTGTGAAGATTAAAGATCAAACCAACACAAAGATATCGGAGGGGTCGAGCGAAACAACTCACCACTTAGCATTGGCCACCAATTATTGAACAGAGCACAAGCCTGAAACAAAAGTAGCAAACAAAGGGTTTAAACACAAGTATGAATCTACTGTTGGAAGAAGAAGCATACACAAATAGTATAAAACTAGTAAGAATCTATTGGGATACCAGAATCTGTAACACGATCCCTGTCGATACTAGGATTGCTAAGAAAGCTATCTTCCCCATATCCAAACAAGTGCGCAGGTATCCAGGTACGTCTGCCATTAACAAGTCCTTCCACAAGATAGCTGAATGCTAAGAAGAAGAAAATCAAAGTGCAAATAATTAGAAAGCGACTAAATTTTTTGAGTTTTTAAAGATAACATATATAAAAATCCTAACTTTACGATTCTAAGACCCTCAATCAGTGAGCCAATCTTTCAATTAACAGAATAACACATCAAAAGAACTCAAGAAAGTATCAACAAAGATCTGATTTTGTTTTTCAGTGGTAAGAGAGATCAAACTTATCCGTTTTTTTTTCTTTCTCTCCTAACAAATTCGACATCAGACCTCAAATAAACTTCGATTTCAACCCCAATCGCCAGAATCAATTTCACACGGATCCAAAGTTCATAAGAAAAAGAGGAAAAATCACACAACAATAGCAACAATTTGAAGAATTTCGACCAGATTAGATGAGAATCATACCGAAAGAGGTCAGATTTACGCAGGACGTTAGAAACGAAACCCTTTTGACTATCAAATCTTTTTTCACGAACCCGAGTGTTGTTGATTCGCTTCAACTATCAAAATTTTCAGACATTAATCATAAATAAGGTAAACCCTTCTGTTTTTTTAACGAAGAGTATGTATACAGAATTTCTGTTTTTGTAAAATTTGGAACTTCTATCAGCTGTGGTCGAGCTCATCGTAATTTTGGTATACCCTTTGACGATGACCGGCCATGTGTGTACCAAACCCGATACGGTTTGAAACTTATTTAGTCCGGTCCAGCCATGAGAAGAAGTACGTCGTGACATACGGATTTAGGATCGGATTCAGATAATTCGGGTAGAAGAGTTTATTATCCATTCGGATTTTATGACTATTCGGTTCGGTTTCGGTTCAGATAATGTCGGATTCGGATTGGTTTTCAAAAAAAAAAAAAAAACAAAGTAAAAAATTTATTTAACTTTAATAAAAATTGGTTTAATCTTACTAATATTTGGTTAAATTTTGGAAAAATGTATTATTTTAACAAATATAACTAAATTTTTTTCAATACCTAGGTTATTTGAGATATTTTTGTTATTTGGTATAAAATTGTAACTAAATATAACTAATATTTTGGATATATAATTTTATTTCTGATTTTTGGATATCTTTTCGGTTTCAGTTCGAATCGGATTCGGTTTAAATAGTTCGGGTAGGAGATTTCATTATCCGTTCGGGTTGAGGTTGACTATTCGATTCGGTTTCAAAACCAGATTTTCCGGATCAAATTCGGATCGGTTTTCAAAATTTGGGTATTATACCCAGTCCTAAGAAGAAGATATTTTGTCTCTACTCAAAGTAATATTAAAGATTTGAAGTACTTGCATATTGAACTTCAAAGTAATAAAACTAAGCTTTTTAATGTCTTGGAGTCTTTAGGACATATAGACATATAGAAAATTCCATTCCACACAAAACTAATTTTAATTTTGCCGACAGAAGTCAGAAAAGATAAATAAATTTGTAATTGAAACTATTCAACGACACGTATACGTAGTTGGGCTCCTGCAAAAACTAAAATGGCCTATCTCCTCGATTTTTCAGTCCATCTTCAAATAAAAATTGCCAGCTGGCATTTGTATTACCAACAAAAATCCAAACACAAAGAAAAAAAATATATCCAAAAAATTTGCCCTTCCTTCGATTTCATCCCCTTCCTCTCGAAGATCGAAGAATCATCATCTCAACAATTCTCCGTAAGTTTCCATTATCTTCTTCCTCTCAATCTCCTGCTTCGATCGCGTAATTTCGATTTTGTTCTCCCGATCTGCACTTATTCCTTCGTAGATTTTTGTTTCACGGAAAAAGTTTCGTGGAAATCATTTTAGATTACAAGTTTTTTTCCATGTGATTGGATCGATTTTGATGTCGATTTGAGAAGATTGAATTTGGTCATTTGTTGAATTTGATTTTATCATTGACCTTTCTTTGGGATTTATCATATTAACTCATTGAATTTAAGTTTTTGATATTTTTTTCGTGTATTGTAGGATAATTCTTCGGAGTGATGAATTAAAAGGGAAAAAGCTGAGTGAACCAATATAGCAGTTTAAGTCGTGACAAATAAGAAATGGCTTGTAGAGGTTGTTTGGAGTGTTTGTTGAAGTTACTAAACTTTCTGCTTGCTGTTGTTGGACTTGGCATGATTGGTTATGGTATCTACTTATTTGTTGAGTACAAGAGAGTTACCGATAATTCCGTTACATTCGGTTTGACAAATGGCGATCAAAGTTATGTTTCGTTTGGGAGGCCTATGCTTATGGCTGTGTCACTGTCTTCTAATGTCTTTGACAATCTTCCCAAAGCCTGGTATGTGATTATTGTCTTTTACTTAGTTAAATATATTGGGTCCAAATCAATGTCTTCTTTGGTTCTTATGTTTTATCACGTAAATGCAGGTTCATATACTTGTTCATTGGTATTGGAGTGGCTCTCTTTGTTATTTCTTGCTGTGGCTGCGTTGGTACTTGTTCGAGGAGCGTCTGCTGCTTATCTTGTGTATCCTTATTACTTAACTTGCTTTTCTTATCCAACATTTCGTTTTAATTAGATGTTGTGTTGCTTTATATTTGATGCCTTGAACTCTAGTTATATGCTCAGGTTATTATGATAGGATCCTTTAGCAAACTTAAAGTCTTAACCTTTCATTTCCTTAATTTGAGACTAGTACTCTCTGCTTCTGATCTTGTTGATCTTGGTGGAGCTTGGATTCGCAGCATTTATTTTCTTCGATAACAGCTGGAGAGATGTGAGTTATCTTTTTGTGTCTGTTTCCCTCTTGTGCTAGATTTCATTTTAGCTAACCATTTTGTATAATTGTTCTCTAGGAACTTCCTTCTGACAGGACTGGAAACTTCGATACAATATATAATTTCCTGAGAGAGAACTGGAAGATTGTTAGATGGGTAGCTCTAGGAGCAGTTGTTTTCGAGGTAAGAGCTAGCACACTTTCAGAACTTTTGATCATTTCTTCTCTTCTCATTTGTTTAATTTTAAAAATCAAAGGCTAAATACTATTGAATTAAATTTGCTGCAAACTATCTTGAAAAGTTAAATATCCCTGGGGAAGTGTTTGTAGACTGTTGTATGGCAATAGAAACATGTCACCTCTATAAACTCTTAATGCTGATTTGTTTACTTGCAGGCTTTACTCTTCTTGCTTGCCCTTATCGTTAGGGCAGCTAATACACCACCAGAGTATGACAGTGATGATGAATATATAGCTCCAAGGCAACAAATCAGGCAGCCATTCATCAACCGCCAAGCCGCCCCTGTCACTGGTGTCCCAGTTGCTCCTACTTTGGACCAACGCCCAAGCCGCAATGACCCTTGGAGTGCACGTATGAGGGAAAAGGTAACAAGATTTAAACGTGCTGAAGTAAAAAGTAAAAAAGCATTAGCACGATACCGAGATTAACTGATGGCTTTTCTTAAAACAGTATGGGTTGGATACATCTGAGTTCACATACAATCCCTCGGAGTCACACCGATTCCAGCAAATGCCAGCGCAACCAAACGAAGAAAAGGGCCGATGCACCATCATGTGAGTCCATTTTAAAAGTCTTGAAAAGTTCAGTCAATTCTCTTTTCCTGTGTTTATTTTTTCTGCGTGTAACAATCAAGAGTGTCAGTAAAATTAGGGTTCCTTGTTTCTGGGTTGATAATGACTCTAGCATTTGAGATCTCTAATCAACCTAGTCACGGTCTCAAAACTCATTTGTTGTGTCTCTGTAGTCTTTTGTAAGGATTTACCATTATGAATATTCATCTTGGTTCCCAGTCTGATTCAGTCCTATGTTTCTTATTCAGTCCTATGTTCATCATAGTTGCGTTTTAATTTAACCAACCACACATTTCCTTTGTTTCCGGTTTACAAATGTGTTAATCATAATTGCATTTTATCCAACCAAACATTTAGTCTAGTCCCAATTCTCAATTTCCAGTTTACAAATGTGCTTTAATCATAGTTGCACTTTAACCATCCGACCATTGCTCCACATGAGGGGACTATAATCTCAATTGAGACCATTGCATAAGCGTTTGGTTCGTTATTCCAAAAAGTTGTGATCCTGGTGAGAAATTGAAAAGTAAACGAATGTAGCGACTTGTTCGAGGCCATTATCAATACCAAAAGCAAAAGTTTGATAGGCACGGAGAATCGCAGACTGTTATCGCCAACCTTCAAGGCAATTCACGTCATTTAAACTAGACGCCATTGCTCTGCTAATTGGCTTTTTTTTTCCTAAAGTAAAAAGTTCACAGAAAGCTTTGAAAAGACGAAACAAATCAAACTCTAACGAATTCATAATTAAATAAATAAAAACTCTAGAAGACTAGAGAAGATGAGAGATTAGGACATCAGTTCTCCAAGGTGAAAAAACACATCAATGTAATTAATCAGTCGCAAATTACCCATTTGTTTTCTTATATTCATCATCTGCCCACAATCAACAAAACTAATCAAAAAAAATCATTGGAAGGGTTTTTTATTGGGTCGATCAGAACCTGTCGAGATATCACAATAACATCACTCAAATGTTGTCAGTGGATTGACAGACTGTGAATTGTTTATCGTCACTTCGACCGCAAAAAAAAATCCCAAATCATAAAAACAAAACTCAAATTGTAAAAGAAAATATTTGTAGTAGAAAGCTCAGAATTTCTTAAGAGGGTTGTGTTTGCCATCAGCGATGAAATACGAATTGAATTCAGGAAAACAAGCTAAAACCTAAAACTATAAAACAAGACCAGAGAGACGAAGAAAAACACTTATTTGTTTCAAGCGGCGAAGTAAAGACTATTTATATGCAATGACTGGGTTAAGAAAACCCTAATTTGTTCATTTTGGGCAACTCTTTTTTTTTTTTTTTTTTTTCCTGGCAACTCTTTGTATTATTAAATTGGTTAACCGAAGAAGAAAGAACACAACACCATAAAAAAAAAAGTAGCAACTTATTTCATAAAAACCCACAAACATTTATGTTCTTTTTTATTCCAAATTTTTATGTTTAGATTATTATTAATTGGGGAAAAAACCCGAAAAAACTACCATTTTTTTTTTTGGCCGTTTAATACCTGTGTTATTAAATTTGGAATAAAAATGTCTCGCTTAATTATTGTAATCTTTTAAATTCTTCGTTTTTTAAATTTTGGTAGATTCTTACCTCCGCTCTCCGTTAACGCGATGGTAACGGAATCTCTAACTGCAGTTAAAACTTAACCCCATGGTGTTTTCGTATATATATACAATTTATGTTCATAAGTATACGAATGTATTCTCTTAGTCAGGTGGTGATACGTGGGTTGAATTTAGACTCGTGCCCGAGTTCGATTCACCTCTAGCTCTATTAGATTTTTTTTTTTACTTCGTCTTCTTCAAACTATCTCTGTTCTCTCTTGTAACTCCAGATTGAAATTGAGAAGCCGTATAGTACCAAGATCTCTCTTGTAACCTCAGATTTTCTTACTGAAATTGAGAAGCCGTATATATAGTGCCCAAACCCTAGATCTATTTGTTCTCTCCTGTAACCTCAGATCTAGGGTTATTGAAATTGAGAAGTGGAATTGAAATTGAGAAGTAAGAAGATCTAGGGTTTATCCACTTTGTAAAATTTGGGGAATTCAGTAATCACTTCATGTAATAGAAGCTGAAACGATGTTAAGGTGAACAAAAACGTGGAGTGGCTTCGTTACGGTTTGATGTGTGCATAAAGAAGTAGGTTAATATGGAGATTAACAAGATTGGGAAGATTGACTATGCTACTACTCCAATCTTTCCCTTTTTCCTCTTTAACCAAGAATGCTCTATTTGATAAGCATGGTTCTGAGACGAGATATGGAGTTGGATCCAAAGAAGTTTGCTGCACTTTTGTTTTTAATTGAATTAGGTTGAAGACGAAGTCAAATTAAGGGGAAAAAAAAGAAAAAAAAACTAAAAGAGTTGAAGGTGGATCGAACTCTCGCACGTGAGGTAAAATCAACCTACCTATCACCACCTGACTAAGACAATACATTCGTAACGTTATGAACATAAATGGTATATATATACGAAAACACCATGGGGTTAAGTTTTAACTACAGTTAGCGATTCCGTTACCATCGACAACGGCCGTTAACGCGGAAGTAAGAATCTACCAAAATTTAAAAAACGAAGAATTTAAAAGACAACAATAATTAAACGAGGCATTTTTATTCCAAATTTAATAACACAGGTATTAAACGGCCAAAAAAAAATAAATGGCGGTTTTTTCCCTTATTAATTGTGGAAATTGTTACTATCAAATTTTTTGAGATTTTATCAATTCTCAACAAATCATCAAAAATAATGTTTACACCATGAAGTAATTATTTTCAATAATCAAAATATTCTCATTTTAATATCAATAACTCCTCTATACTAAAAAGAAGAAAAGATAGAACTCAGTGACATATAGTGTGGGTGAGAAAGAGAAGTAAAAACATGGTTAGAGATAGACTAGAAACTGTGAAGAAGAAGTAGAAAAAAAAGGAGTAATTTTTAAACCGATCCTAAACCGAACATCAAAACTGATCAACAAAAACCAGTAAAGTATCAAAGGAAAATGCTACTAACGGAGCTATCATCATGGACACGCCAAATGGTCTCACCCAGAAGATTAGCCACCGATAAAATCGTTAACTGCGGGAAGTAATTCTTCTCCGCTACTGGTAAAGTATTCGTCACTATCACTTCTTGCAACAAACCACTTGATAACCGCTCTATCGCAGGTGGACTGTGACATTGATTCATTCAACAAAACAGTCTTTCAGTTCCATATACGCAAATGAAAAAGAAAGTGGCAAAATCGAGCTAATTGGTTTACCTGAAAACCGCATGTGTACAGCAAGCGTAAACCTCACGTGCACCCTCCTCATGTAAAAGAGCTGCTCCTTTCACAATGGTTCCTGCAAATATGAAAAAAGAAAAGAAAAAAAAACTGGTTCTTAGTAATAATGTATGCAAGATATCTCGACTATGGACTAGAGTTTTCGGCATGCAAATGAGAACGGTGTTTAGAGATTGTTGTGGGAAAGAATAGAGTTTGGGAGCTTTTGTTGATAACAAACATATAGATAAAAACTGGAATTTCTGGAAATTTTTACTGACCAGCGGTATCAATCATGTCATCCACCATTACTGCCACTTTCCCTCTAACATCACCGATTAGGTTCATGACCTATGGGAAAGAGAGCATTATCAACACATGTGAACTTGCGTGAAGGAAGGATAATGAGGATTTAGAAAAAGGCCAAAAAAAAGAAGGTAAATTTAAATATTACCTCAGCAACATTGTGGCCGTGACGCCTTTTATCGACAATGGCGAGTGGCGCATCAGATAATTTCTTAGCAAATGCACGTGCCCTAGCTACTCCACCAACATCAGGAGAAACCACTACCAAATCCTCAGAGGAAATTGACTTGCTAGCAAGATAATCAAGAATCACAGGCTGAAATGTAATCACAGAACTCGGTAAGATTTTAAAGGTTGCATAAAAAGTAGAGGCCTGTCTATCAAAAAGGTTGAAACTTGAGATACCTGGCAATAGACATGATCCACTGGTATGTCAAAATAACCCATGGACTGTCCTGAATGAAGATCACAAGCCAGAACCCGATCTGCACCGGCTTCTGTTATAAGATTTGCTACCAATTTGGCAGCAATGGATTCACGCCCTTGTGTCTGGAAACATCAATAGATACATCAGATGAAATTACTTGACATACTGTATCTACCAATTAAGAAGACCAAGAAACCTGATCAGAATATCACAAAAAGAACCTACCTTTCTATCAGCTCTTGCGTATCCAAAATACGGAATCACGGCTGTTACTTTCTTAGCTGATGCTCTTCGGCAAGCATCCACCATGATCAAAAGCTCCATAAGATTCTCATTAGTTGGAGTGCAAGTAGGCTGCACCAAAAAGACATCACAACCTCTAACACTCTCTTTCAGCTGAACGTAAATCTCTCCATCAGCAAATCTCTTTATGCTAACCTTCCCAAGTTCCAAGCCCATATACCAAGCAATTTCCTTCACAAATTTCCAAGAACTTAGCAAATACTTCACCAGAAGAAAACCAGAATTAAAAAACGGACGAAAGGTCTCGAGAAAACTACCTGAGATAGAGCTGGATTAGCAGTACCAGAGAACAACTTCAGCTTAGTATTGTTTCTACTAACCGATTTCTCCAACCGTGAAGAATCAAAGAACTTTGGAATTGTCGTCTCATTGATAATAGGAATACGAGCGTTCCCGTTTAATGCCTTAGGCAAATTGCATTTCTATAAAAAACAATCGCAAAGGAATTATGAAACCAAATTCACAATGGTTTAGACACAAATTTCAACCACCTCACGATCTCTCTTTCATCTCTCTACAAACATAAGCTTTACCAAACATTCATATCGTTATCAATTTCCACAGCATAACTCATGCAGCAATCAACACACAAATTCCAAATTCTACAGTCACATACATGGGACAGAGTCAAGCCAAGAGCGACGAAAGCAAGATGTGGCACTGTTCTTAAATCGTTCAACACAAATTCTCACAAAATTAGCTATAAACAGAAAATCTAACAGATCAAAGCATAGATTCATCCAAAAACTATTTGAGTTTTCTATATAACAAATATATGAAACGTAATGTGAATATTGGATTCATACATTAACAAGGAAAAAAAATGCTCACCGCATAACCAGAAACGCAGATTCGAGAGCGAGACTCAGTGTTCCTGAAGGAAATCGAGGAACGAGAGAAAAGAGACGAAGAAGACGATGACAGATACGACGGAATCTTAACGGCGGGAGGAGAAGTCAGAGCCAACGACGCCATATGTAAGAATATATATACGTCGGAAACACCTGAATACGTCAGGGAATCTCTGAGTCACGGAGGTATCAGACTCCTCTCCGTTAAGAATTCCGAGAACTGATCGAAGGAGGTTAGGGTTAGGGTTTCAGGACTCGAGAAAGAGAACCGAAGGAGAAGAAGAAGAAGCTAATGGTGAATTTTGTTGTTCTTCTCCGGGAAGAAGAGTGACTCAAGCGGTGCGGCGATGGTCTTCTCTCTTTCTCGATTTTTGGAATTTTTCAATTTTATTTTTGTTGCACAAAACATAAATATAAATAAATAGTAGGAAATTGTTTAAAACGATACCGTTTTGGTTGATGGCTAAATAGTCTTTGAAAATATTTATTACTATAATTCAAGCCAATCGAATGATTACATATTTACATGTCATTAATTTGATTCTGTTAAACATTATTAACTTGGAATATTATGTTTGAATTTTTATTAACTTTATTTTAAATACTACAAAACAGTGACAAATGGTGTTAATGAATTTAATCTAATAGGATATTCATATATTTGATCTGATCAAAAAGATTCTGTTACATCTAAAAACTTGGACATTTTTGTTAAATTTTATTTTAATTAAACATGCCATAAAACAGCAGTGTCTTTAAATCTACCATACAAAGAGATGGTGTATTTGGTAAAACTGGTCATATGAAAGAATGTTATTAATTTAAATCTATCAAATGGTTACATGTTATATATTTTATATGATTACATGTCAATTTTTTTAAATGTCATTTATAGAAAACAAGACTATAGAAGTTGTGCTTTAACAAAAAAAAAAAGACTAGAGAAGTTGTGAATTTGTGATAGAACGTAAAAAATTTACAACTCTTATCGAAGAATCCAAACACAAATTCTAATGAATCTCATACGTCTCTGAACTCTGATTCCTCATGCCCACTTGTTTCTAAGCATTTTTCATGCCACTTTAGGATTCCACTAAAGCCATCACTAATTATGAACATAAATATTCTAAAAAAAACTAAAAGAGAGAAAGAAAACAAGAGACCATTCGTATTTTGGGTTCTTTTGGCTATACAAGTAGATTGGGTCACATCATCAAATATTGGCCATTGAAACAATTGAAAAGTGCACATTTTAAAAGGAAATAGTCAAAAAATCAAAAGCGAATATGTGATTCTTCAACAAAAAAAAAAAAGAGAAAATTTGGAAAAATACCCTCTTTTTGTTTACACGTTTGAAAAATACCTTCTCTTTGTTTTTCTTTTAAAAACAATTTTTAAAAATATAAAATTACTAATAAAAAATCTTATTTAAACTTAATAATAATTAAGCAAAAGGATCTATATTTTTAATATCAAATCAATTAATTGGTAATAATTAAATATCTAATTTTTACAAAGTTGTCCGTTGACCAAATCATGTTCGTCTTTCACCATGGATGTTGTTTTGTAACTTTGAATGTTATATAACTAATAGTTCCAAAGATTCATTATCCTAAATATTTTTAAAGAACAATAATGAATAATAACATCTTACCAATGTCAAGTCAAGATTTTTTTATTAAGTGATATGGTGCAGATTTTAATGATTCATTATTATTAAAAACACATAAAATAGTTTACTTTGCAAAAAACAATCAAAGAGAATCTTTTAATTGAGGCAAACTTTGGTAATATGTTGAGTTAAAAAATGTGTTTGGAACGTTGGAGATTTTTTCCTTTATATAATATAACAGATATTAAGCGATAAATTTTATAGTTTTTTAGATATAATTTTATTAAAATTTAATATATCAAATCAATAAACTATTTTTGTATTAAATATATATATAACCATGATTAATATTATTTCGAATTTAGTATATATTTTTCCTCTAAATTTCGAATTTATTTTTTATTTATTAAAAATATAGCTTTAAATATTATATTTGTTCAAAATTGTCATATTATATAACTCAAAAACAGGGTAATTTTCAAAATCACCCAAAAAAAAAGGCTACAACTTAACAAAAGACTTCTTCAATAACACTACGAAACATCATAGAGATTTGCCTTTAAGGGTTAAGGCTTGTTTTGACACGTCAAATTGAGCATATACGACTACAAGTAAATTTTGGGTCTAGAAAGAAGAGAGTATTGATTAGAGAGACTTGTGTAAATCAAAGAAGCTGAAGCATTCACCATTTGTGTGAAGCGTTCAAATGGGCTCTAATTAATGCAGAGGTATATATGATTGATTCTCGAGTATCCATGGATCGAGAGAGAAGAGAATTCAAAGGTTTGAAGTTGAGAAAAGCTTCCATGTTTATTATTCAAAAACAACTACCATACTATGAAGGAGAAGCATCTCTATTTATAAATCGACGAAGATGTTAAGATATTTCACGCAAGATTCTCCTTCAAATCCACATCTTGCTAAGATCATCTGTAGTATCATTTTGCTCTAAATGATTACCTGTGGTCAATCATATTTCGATCTACCTAAAACCAAGCTCATAACAGATTACACTAAACACTAAACATTATAGTTTAAGTAAAATTATAATGAGGATTAAATTATGAAAACATCATTCTTCGCTTTCTCGAAGAATATGCAGAGAGAAGCAGAAGCTAAAGAAGATAAGAACTCAAAGGGTTATAAGAATGTAAAAAAACACAATGTAACGTCAAAAGATTAAAAACTTGAGCAACATGAGTTTCTAGGAAAAACTAGTTTCTTTAAGAAGATAAAACACAAGTACTACAGCGCTTCTAACATCTATAAGATTAGGAAACCAACTTGACTTGAAAAAGACTGAACCAAACTTCAGTCGAATGCAATCTGACATGTAGGTGAACGCCTGAACAACAATGACAACTCCTTGAGCATCTCAAATTTCTTCTCGATGTCAGTGGATTTGGAGGAGATAGTCACCTTCTTTAAACAGCTTCCACTTCTTAAGATGAATGCCGCTACTTCTTTCTCTTCTTCTGTTCCTTCATATTTTACCCATTCGAGAGTTTCAAGACTCATTAACAGACATTCAGGAACTGCACTCGGTTCATTCCAGCACGGCCGCGGTTTATGAGATTGATGTATATGGTCCTAAGATACAAGTAAGGTATCATCATACTGTTATTGTACTGAAAGGATATGCTGATATATCAAAGAGACTGAATAAGTCAGGTTCTGATCTGCAGACCTTAACAAGTTTGAGAGCTCGTAATTTAGGGGAATCTCTGAGTACACACATAAGTAGATTCAGCCACTCTGTCTCACATGTGCATAGCGCTAAATGTACAAGACAGTGGAAGACACTACCAACAGGATAAGCATCCTGGATAAGAGAGACAACATAAGTAATTTGATCACAAAGAAACCAATAATATATGTAGATAATAGAACTATAGAAACATATTACCTTTGAGGATGGTATACATACATAGAGACGCTTGACCGAAGAAATAGAACCCATGAGCTGCTGCGTATGTTCATAAGAATGGCAAACATTTGCCTTCACAATCTTAGTCATATTATTCTCAATGACACAAAACTTACCCCTATAATCAGCAATGTCCAAGCACTCCAAAGAAGGAGTATCTATCACAAACCCGCGATCAACATTTATACTGGCTGATTCCGTTTGATGCAAGACTAAACACTTAAGAGAAGACACTTTAACAGTGAAAATAGTCACATTGTCATTGGGGCAGCGTTTCACAACCAAGTCTTCAAGAACAGGACAATTCGAAAGAAGCATCTTGATCAGCTCATCACCTGGAAACTTCATGGATACCAGACTCAAATTCTTAAGGGATGGAAAAAAAAACGAGGATGTATCATCCACAAGAACCGCGTTTTTTAGCTTCAAAGTCACGAGCATTCTACAGCACGTATACAGGCTCCTTGGAAGTACCACTGAAGATCTATCACTGGTAGACGTATCAATCTCAATGACCAGCTCGCGCAAACAACGGTTATCTACTGTTCTAATCCATACTCGAATATCTCCAGTACCACAGGAGGTTTTACCGAGTTTTAAATACAAAGTATCTAAAACTGGTGCCTCGTGCAGAGTCAATGACCTGTCGACAAACCGAGAAAATCTTCCATACTCATTAGCGTGATAGCTGCTTTCATCATATACAAGCTTTGGCACCAACATCCAAAGAAACTGCCACCGTTTCGACAAAACCATTGTGGAAACAACATCTTTCGCAGGCAATAAAGACAAAATTCTCAAGAGTAGCGCTTCAGGCAACTGACTTAACCTATCCATAAAGGCAAACACTTTCAAATCCTAAAGCTTTCAGCTTCCACAGGTTTAGTTCAGAACCAAAAACCTAAACAGATAAGCCTGAAAACAGCAAGGAGTGTAAAATTCTCAGTGTGAAGAAGTATACAAAAAACCCACAAGCAACTAGACAAGGTCAAATCAAAACCCTAGCGAGGTACAAAAACCACAAATCAATAGAGAAGCAAACGATATCTAAACTCATCGAGGCATGAAATCGCTTATTCGAAATCAAACCAGTAAGACGAATTAAAAGAATTTCACAGGAAGAAAAAAATCAAACACCTGAAATCCCACCGGAATTTCTTATTCAACGGAGAAGAGGAACCCTAGAGAGAGTACTGAAATGTGACCATTTCCCTTAGGAGGCCTTCCCGCTACTTTTATTTTACCCACAAAAAAAAAAATTGTGGTGAAAAAGATTTGTTCAAAAAAAAAAAAAATTGGTGAAAATCATTTTATTAATAATTTAGTTGAAAGGTTTTTTTTTACTTGAGGGTTTCTTTCAAGTTCTAACCAAGTAAAACATGATTATTCTAGTTCTAAGATTCATGTGTTTGAAGGAAAAAAAAAAAGATTAATGTGTTTTTCATCTTCCCTTATAGCTTTTTGTTAATACAATTGCATCATTTACTGTAAATTCGATTATAACTTGTTTGGAAAATACAAAAAATGAAACACAAGACCCCCAAAATTTACATTATTTATCGAACATGTTACATGTGGAAACGACTCTTTGATGGAGATTAGGGAAGCGTGTTCGTTTGAAGAAGATGAACGAACAACGAAGTAGGATATGCCGTATGTGTCTATCTTTGGAGACCATTACTTTGTCATTTGTCTGAAATTTTCAAATGGGCTGGAGGATTAATTGTCCTATGGAAAAAAAATCACAGAAGTAAATTATGATCATCTCAATTGCTTGCTGGAAAAATGTAACAGAACAAAGAGATCAGAGTTTATACCAAAGGGGAAATATTAGATTGTCGAAGAGCACGAAGCTGTGTGGTTTCCATGTTTTCAAGTAACTGGGTTACTGTGTTTAGATGAACGCCGCTGTATCGAGAAAACGAAACTTGGGGTCAGAACACAAGAGCTACAAACATGAGAATATTAAAGGGGATACAAGTTTTGATGATTAAAAATGGATAATTCTTGCATGTCAAAGGAGATCAAACCTGTGCAATCCGCTTTCTATATGAGCATCCAGAGATGAAATCACTTGAGGAAGCTGCGCCAACGCCTTACAAAAATGGAAAAAAATGCATAAGACACAGAAGTCCTTATTTATGTCATCATACATTCTACACCATAACATACATACTTGTCCAGTGGACTTAGTCAGTGAAGCTTTAGCCAAGAGATTCTTCGGGAGCTTTGCCAACTGGGCCTGCACATAGCCATATTCAAAATTAGAGATAAAACATCTGTTATTAACCTTACACAATGTTTCATTGTAGTATTTTTACATGAAAACGAGAGGAGATAACGAGTTTCCAATGAAATACAAGGCATCTTATGTTTAGAACAACAACGAACCTGTCGCAGACTAGTAAACATCCACTCATTCTTCTGTGTTTTAGTAAGATACTAGATAACAATTGTGTCTATCTCTGAAACTATTCACCAAATCCCCAGTTTCTATCATTAGAATCAACCCAACAAACCACCAACATTGTTGTAAAATCCGGCCAAAATATACAGAACAAGATGACTATAATCAAACAAACCTAATAAAAACCAATCCTAGAGCAAAACTTACTTGCCTACTTGTGGCCAAAGTCACCAAAAATCTCATCCCAACTTCACTAACTTAGATTAAATTTAACCTCTAAAGATATTGACATAACACATGAAGAATGCAAATTGGATCACAGGTTCGAGAATTTTCCAAAATTATTGAGAACTCATATCTCCCACAAGCTCAATCACAATGTATTCAACGTAAATCGTATTTCATCCAATCGCACGATCTTCATCGGTGACTATGCAAGCACGTGTTTGAAGAAGGTACCTGAGAAGAAGACGATTGACGCATCAGTTGTAGAAGGTTAGCAGTAGAATTCACAGCTTGTGAGATCTGATCGGCGACGATTGCTTTCGCCGTTCGATCACCTCCGCCGATTCCTCTTGAATTTTCCGATGACGTCGCCATTTCTCTTTCCAAGTTTGGTTTTGTTCACTTCTCTTTTTCAATAATTGGGAAAATATAGGTCTTACCTTGTAAATATAAAAACTCTTCTTCTTCGCTGCCCTTTTACTTTTGATTGATACCAAGTTATTCCCAATATTCTTATTTCTATCAAATTGACGCCCTCATATCAAACCGGGAGTAGATTGCTGTTCACAATCCGGTACATGTAAACCAAACCGAATAATGAAGGTTATTTGTATTCAAGTATAGTATGGAATAATAATGAGAAGAAGATGATATCTAATACTCAATTGCATACCATGAGATCAGTTGATGATAAATACATGACTTGGACACCTAATTAATCACTTCGTAATTTTTTAGTCTATTTAAAATTGTATAATTTGTTATAAAAAAAAGATAGCAGGTGAATTAAAATTAATAATCACTTCGTAATATATAATTTGTTAACAAGTGAATTAAAATTAATAATCACTTCGTAATTTTTAGCATTTGTGTTAGCAGGACTAATTGACTATGTTCACACCATGTACAATCACAAAACTATATCCATGTTTTTTTATTCTATTGAACTAGAAAATGTCTCATATATATTTTGTATTATTTGTTTTATCTTGAATTTTGCTTAAGCTTCCAACTTTTTAACTAGGATTAATCTTGTTTGTATTTTGTAAAGAATGTTTATATTGTGTGTTTTTCTTGTTAGTATTCCAAAGTGAATACCATATATTGTTTCCATAATATCAAAATTTTGGCTTTTTGTATGTGAATTCAAACGCTTTGAACCCGATCGATAATATAAAAAAGCGCATTTACATAAATCTAATTAAGAAACTAGCTAGATAGCTCAACTAACCCCACAACTCGAGTCAATGAACGCGGTGGCCTTTTATATATGTCATTGAGCATCCCACACATGAAATTCAATGTGACACTCTTGATGGTAGGAGTGACTTTGATAACTTATAGTCAGTTTTTACGTGAATTCGTAATACATGGGAACTACTTAGCCATTTTAGAGTGATTGCATCGACCACGCCAAATAGATGATTAAGTAATTCGAGTTTGTTTTTTTTATAATTTTAGTTTCTCGGATTTTATTTTCGGCAATTTATGGTTTCTCATTATTTTTTCTCATATAAATTTTTCAATTTCATATTAGGTAATAGGTAATTTATGGTTTCTTTTATTCTATAGTTTCTAATAATTTGGTAATTTACCAAAAATTAATTTTAGATTTGGTAATTAACATTCTTTAATCGATAATTTAGTTCCTTTATACAAAATCACATTTCCTTAGGTTCTTAGTAATTCGGTAAATTACCAAAAATTAATTTATTTGTTTTTAACGATTGTCTTAGTAATTGGTAATTTAGTTTATTAGTACAAAATTACATTTTTTAAAAAAAAATTTGGATTTTATTTGTTGTCGATTCATGGAATCTGTCATTTCATTTTTGGATTTGTGATCACAGAATGTTCACCTAGTTTCAGAATGTGCTTTACGCAAACAAAGAAAAGAGATTGGCAAAGCGGTAATGAAAAATAACACAGTTTTGTATATATGTGAACATGAAAATCTCATTTTGGATTGTCATAATTTTCAAAATAGTCAAATGAATACTCTTCATTTTCTCACAAAAATTGTTTCACATTGGTTTCTTACAAATGTGCAAACATCATTTACTAAAGATTAACATTCTCATTATGTGTTTACTATATTGCTTATAAGTTATAACTCACAAGTCAGAATACCTTGAGAACAACGCTCTTATACACCCAATTAACCCATTCCCTTGAAAACCTCTTATCAATTTTTTTTTTTTTAATAATTAACCTATTACCAAATAGATTTGAATTTGTTGGATGATATATCATTATGTTTACAATTTGTCTCTAAACTAGATTTTACCCCGCGGTACACCGCGGATCGATTATTTAACTAAAAAATTAAATTTTAAATTGTATTTTTAATATTGTTTATTTTGTTAAGTGTTTAAGATTGTATAATTGTATTTTGATTGTTAATTTTAAGATTTCATCCGTGATATTAATACCGTCACTATATAACCCCGTCCCATGAAATTAAACATCATTTTGTTATTTTTAATAATATTTTATTTAATAGACATATAATTCGAGTCAATTTAAAAGTTTGATTTTAGAGAAATTGTTAAAAATGCCCCCTTTTCAATACCCCTTTTCAAAAATGCCCCCTTTGAGAGTCCATTTTTAAGTTTGCCCTCTTTTAATTTTTAATGACCATTTTACCCTTATTTGAAACAAAATTAGGTCCACAAAATACAAAATATTTTTTGGCGGGAAAAGTGATCCCGCAATTTTCCCGCCAAAACACTTGTAAAACCTTTAAAATACCTTGTAAATTTTTCCCGCCAAAATTTTTCCCGCCAAAAAATTTTTCCGCCAAAAAATTTTTTTTGCGGGAAAAGTGATTCCGCAATTTTTTTGGCGAAATTTATTTGGCGGGAAAATTTTTGGCGGGAAAAATTTGCAAGGTATTTTAAAGGTTTTACAGAGTATTTACAAGTGTTTTTGTAAGGTTTTACAATGTATTTTAAAAGGTTTTACAAGGTACTTATAAGGTTTTATAAGGTATTTATAACTTGTAAAACCTTATAAAAAACTTGTAAAACCTTATAACTTGTAAAACCTTATAAAATAGCTTGTAAAATATTATAATATCTTATAAATACTTTATAAATACGTTGTAAAACCTTTTAAAATACATTGTAAATTCTTATAAATACCCTGTAAAAAACCTTGTAAATTTTTTGGCGGGAAAATTTAACGCCAAAAAAATTGCGGAATCACTTTTCCCGCAAAAAAAAATTTTTGGCGGGAAAATTTTTTTGCGGGAAAAAATTTTACGGGAAAATTTTACAAGGTATTTTAAAGGTTTTACAAGTTTTTACAAGTGTTTTGGCGGGAAAAATTGCGGGATCAATTTTCCCACCAAAAAATATTTTGTATTTTGTGGACGTAATTCTGTTATATTTCCTTATATATTTGTGATATATTTTATTAAAAGAAGGGTAATTTAGTCATTTTGTATATAAAAAGGGGTATTTTTAAAAATGGACAGCCAAAGGGGGCATTTTTGAAAAGGGGTATTGAAAAAGGGGCATTTTTGTGAGTCTCCCTTGATTTTATATATATATTTTTAAATTTTAGTTAATAATAATGAATTCTATATAATAATTTTTGAATTAATTACGTATGACCGACGGTCAAGATTGAAGATTAAAAACCGGATTAAGATTTGAATGACAACGATTAAATGTAGGGATTGTTGAGAACTTATAAGGAAATCGAATTGAATATGGATGTAATTGTGGCAAGGATTAGTTATGTTTAATATCTTAGGTTAAGATTTTTGGAAATGATTTTTATGTTAATATCTTTGATTTAATTTTGAAAATCTAAATAATTAATATGTCAATGGTATTTGATCGTAAATAAGTTGGAACTCCAGGATTTATTTCATAAATGTCTCCAAAAATGTATATATAGATAACAGTCTACTTTTGTTATAAAACCATTATACAACTTCTCCACCAATGCCAATACAGATTCACACATTAATTTGTATTTAAAACTTTTTAGTTATGAACTTATCTTTCCGTGATAAACATGTAAATTTGATATATAATTATATTTTTTTTTTATGAATGCAATTTTGTTTTTTTTTGTTTTGTTTTTATGCTATATTAGACATAAATTTACAAATATTTCTAGAATTTTATGGAATCCAAAAATGAAAAAGAAAAGTATGGCTTGTATTGAAGTATAGTATGGAATAATGAGAATTTTTAAGTACAAATATTACAACATCTTCTATATGTATAACCTATAGTATCAAACAATTACAAAATTGGACAGCCGAAACAAAGAATATAACAGAAACTAGAATCTAATTCCGGTCTTTGATCTATTGGATGATATATCAACCAAGACAATTCACATTCTCAGGCTCTATCCTACAGAGTAAGTCCCCCTAACGCAATACAACTTTCTGTTTGGTAAAGTCATCTTGTGATCTTCAAACTGACATTCTCCAGAGATCTCAATATGTATTTTAATCTCATCTTTTTCTTCTTCTTCTTCTTGTTCGTTTTCGGTCTTAACTACTATAGAATGTCCAGTAGAATGTGACCTCCAAAACCGCAAATTCGATGCTTTCATTCGTCTTTCATAGCTTTCGATTTCATCTGTATGCTCTAAACTACCAATAGTAGTAGTAGGATGCTCCTCGTGAACGATGATTGTCACTGTGTCACGGGGCAAAGGCTCGTCGTGGATTTCAGATCTAACTAGATCGATTTCAGGAACTTCTATCGGCTTTTCTAGCGATGTCCGGTCTTCTACATCAAGCTCACGCCTGCATACCGGGCAAGTCTTGTGTCCTTCAAACCAAAGATCAATGCAAATTGTGTGGAAGGAGTGATTACAAGTAGAAATGAGCCTAATGGTGTCATCATCCATAAAATCTGTTAAACAAATGGAACATTGATCCGTCCCATGATCTTTCACCGAATAAGGATACTCAGGGAAGGATTCAATGATCTTGGAGTCGAGACCGAGGTTTTCGGGTGGATTAGACGGTTGGATTACGTTACTAGGACGGTTTCGGTTTCGATGGTTATTCCAAATCTTCATGAGTTTCCTAAATAAACATCCACAGAAGAAGAAGGAGAAGAAACCGGTGAAAATGATGAAGAGAAGACTACCGGTCAAAACTATGGTGACCGGGGAGGAAACGAGGGTGTGTACTGGTTTGAAATTGTCTGTCTCGGTCGTGGATAATGACATTTTGAGACCGTGCAGTGAAACGGTCGGATCAGAGATGTTGTGACTGGTTTCATAGGTAGCTTGAGGAAGAAGAAAGGGTTTATTCTGAGGTTGCCGTGTGGGAAGGGTAATGTCAGTGGGGAAGAGAGAAATGAGGAGAAAGGTAAGGTCATACATATGCCAAAGCTTTTAGAGTTTTGAGCGAGTCTTTGGTGAGAAAAAAGCTACGTGTTATCTTTGTGGCCAATTAATTTATTTTTATTTAATTGGTAATCGATCTTCTAGTTATGATCAAATTTGTGGCTTTATAGTCAAATTATGAAATGAAAAAGATCAAATATGGAAAAGATACAAAGAAAGAAAGATGATATTTCAACATAAGTCATAATCTACAACAACAACAACAACAACAACAACAAAAGGAGATACAAGGATTACACATATACAACAAACTCTACAAAATGTACCATCATCACCGGACTTTGAAACCGGTAAACTAAAACCCAAACATCAAGAAAAAAGCGAGATTGTAATTTTCTTAGCAGTTATCTAAATCTGTTGAAAAAAGACAGCGATAACTTTATTCAATATCGTCGATCCAATCACCGTATATCCGACTGATTTTTGCCGGACCTTTCCACTTCTGATGAGTTCTGATTCCAGGCTTTTGTGTAACCGCACTAGACGCTCGTTGCAATGCGACTCCACTGTGGTAACTGGCATCTGCATTATGAGGAACTCCTGGAGATAGAAGTGTTGTTGTGTCTGAATGTCCTTTCGGGTTTTGTACTGTTTGCTTTGTGTCTGGATTGGGTGATACTCCGTCTTTGCCTTCTTCTTCTACGAGTCCTCCGCCAAATCTATGTAACTCTGCGAATCATAAAGACTCAAAACTTCAAAGCTACACGACTACAGATCTAAGGTCATAAAGTTCAACAATTCTAAGAGTTTGTTTCCCATAAGAAACTATTAAAGATTCTACATTTTCCCTTTTTTCACAATGTAAGACAGATTAGCATCAAACTTTCTAGATTTCAAGCAACCTATAACTCTACCCTGAGCTTAAGATTCAACAACTCATCTGATTCATTACAATACCAGACCAAAAATGAATGTTTTTCAGTAGTTCTGCGGCGCGCTCAACTGATCAAAGCACTCAATCCATTAGTTAGTCTCCTATGTAACCTATAGTACCATTCTCACTAGTCCATCCATGAAGTACCATTGATGTAAAACTTCTACTACTCTTTATCAAAACTAACAAATAGCTAACAGACTAAACAGTAACCACAGTCCAACAAGACCCCAAAGAAAGCAGTGTCATAAAATACAGACTCCGACAGGGTCAGCAAATAAGCTAGTCATTGGGGCTTAACCATATTACTCAGCTTCTAGCTTCAGCGTCCAATCCCTAATTACATTAAACCCATTCATCAAGCAACATTGGTTTAAACTTTAAACAAACATACGAAAAGTCACTAAAAACTTGGCTATCTTCAGGCCTAACCATTCCATTCATAAAGCAAACGAAATCGAAACAAAAGGCGAAATCTTTACCTGCAGCTCCATGAGCAAAATGACACTTAGCACCAAACGGACAATACCCAGTAATCTCCCATTTGTTGCAAATCCTTGTCTTCCAATTTGAAGGCTTCAAAATATTAATTCCACTTCCACTTCCACTACCACCACCAAGCACTACTACATTGCTACTACTACCACCACCACCACCACCAGAACCACCGCCACTTCCACCACCACCACCACTTCCATAACCACCAGGTCCTAAACTAATCGCAACGCTTTCTCTATTCCTCGAAGCCTCATCATGCAGAAACGTACAACTCTCTCCATAAGGACATCCTTCTTCAGTATAAAACTTCTTACAATGTCTTCCTTTAAAAGATCTCCCACTCTCAGCCGTCGATGACACCAAAGACGGGATCTGAAACTCCTCCCGTGGCAACTCAACCACAGCAACAGTAGGAGTTCCCATACCACCAGATCTCTCCTCCTCATGAGCCGCCACAATCTCCTGCCAATTCGGCGGTGGACGACGAAGCTCCTCCACCGTATGAGCAAAGTTACAATTAGTTATATACGGACAAGTCCCAGCACGAAACTTGCAACAAAGCTTCGTCTTGAAGAACATTTTCCCAATCGCTTTAGTACGATTGCTCGCGGCGGAAGTAGTGGTGACTGATGAAGACGACGGAGAGCCTCGAGTCTTCTTGTTCGGTGGACCATTGTTGTCGCCGGAGGTGTTATCGGGATTCACCGCCCAAGCTCGATTGTAATCATCTTCCGTCGCCCAAACGGCACTATCGCCGAGATTCGGAAACCAACTATCCGGCGGAGGATTGTTTGTGGGTATCACATGAACTACATCTCCGCCGGAATCTCGCCGGTGATGATGACTCATCGTGTGAAAACTCGAAGAAGCTTTTTCCTTAACCCTAATTTTGTGAAAGTTCACAAATTTCCACCAATAATCACGGAAAAGCTGAGAAATTTCGTGAATTCCAGAGATGGGTTATCTTGAAAACAATCAAATTCATCGATTAACGACAAATTTTGAGAAACCCAAGAAAAAAATTTAAAAAATTGAAAACGAAAAAATGAAAATGAACAGATAACACAGATATACAGATCACAGATGATGATGATGAAGAAGAAGAAGAAGAAGAAGTATAGAGATTAGTACTTAGTCACTCAAAAATCGTCGTTGAGATTGAAAGATCATGTTCGGGGAAAAAAAATCGAACAAGAATATTCCGAGAAATTTAAAGGAGGAAAAAAAAATACGAAGCGTGTGGACATAGGATAAGATCTTTATTAGGACAATAATTTATGAGAAATTGTTAAAAATGCCCCTTTTTCAATACCCCTTTTCAAAAATGCCCTCTTTGAGAGTCCATTTTTAAGTTTGCCCTCTTTTAATTTTTAATGACCATTTTACCCTTATTTGAAACAAAATTAGGTCCACAAAATACAAAATATTTTTTGGCGGGAAAAGTGATCCCGTAATTTTCCCGCCAAAACACTTGTAAAAACCTTTAAAATACCTTGTAAAATTTTCCCGTAAAAATTTTTCCCGCCAAAATTTTTTTTTGCGGAAAAAGTGATTCCGCAATTTTTTTGGCGAAATTTTTTTGGCGGGAAAATTTTTGGCGGGAAAAATTTACAAGGTATTTTAAAGGTTTTACAGAGTATTTACAAGTGTTTTTGTAAGGTTTTACAATGTATTTTAAAAGGTTTTACAAGGTACTTATAAGGTTTTATAACTTGTAAAACCTTATAAAAAACTTGTAAAACCTTATAACTTGTAAAACCTTATAAAATAGCTTGTAAAATCTTATAATATCTTATAAATACCTTATAAATACGTTGTAAAACCTTTTAAAATACATTGTAAAACCTTATAAATACCCTGTAAAAAACCTTTAAAATACCTTGTAAATTTTTGGCGGGAAAATTTTTGGCGGGAAAATTTAACGCCAAAAAAAATACGGAATCACTTTTCCCGCAAAAAATTTTTTTTTGCGGGAAAATTTTTTGGCGGGAAAAAATTTTACGGGAATTTTGCGGGAAAATTTTACAAGGTATTTTAAAGGTTTTTTACAAGTTTTTACAAGTGTTTTGGCGGGAAAAATTGCGGGATCAATTTTCCCGCCAAAAAATATTTTGTATTTTGTGGACCTAATTTTGTTATATTTCCTTATATATTTGTGATATATTTTATTAAAAGAAGGGTAATTTAGTCATTTTGTACATAAAAAGGGGTATTTTTAAAAATGGACAGCCAAATGGGGCATTTTTGAAAAGGGGTATTGAAAAAGGGGCATTTCTGTGAGTCTCCCATAATTTATTTGAAACAGAGCAGCAGACAAGTAACTAAATTTGGTAATAATCTGGTAAAAGTGAAAATGAATGACACTGTAATAAAAAGATTTGAGAATTTTGAAATCAGAAAAACTTTAAATGTTCTTACAGTGTATTTAATGATCACTCGGTATCTATATGAAAACTTTAATGGATATAAATGTGATTTTTATTTTTTTCTGTTTTAACAAAATAAAAACTCAGAATAAGCTTTAGTTAATTACTATTGTTGGAGTGAATTATGTTTTTCACCCTAAAATAAACACAAAAATTTGAAGTTATATAGGTGATCAATTATGTTTAATTAAGTTAAAAGTTGCAACAGTGGTGCCTGGCTCTTGTAGCTCACTGGTTTGCGATGGTACATTAATGTGCAACGTGTGATGAGTTCGAAGCTTGAGCTGGGCTAAAGAGAAACAGAGTGAGCCAGTAGAAGCAGCGCAGCAGTTGAGAGCTTTGTGATGTCAATATGTCATCACGTAAACATTTGAGGTATTTCTAAATATCCTTTTTTTTTTTCTGAATCTCCTAATTTATAATGTGAGAAATAAAGGTGTTGACATGGAATCTGATAATTATAAATCGAAGGATTAATTAAATAAAGTCATATTTTATTTTAAACGTTTATTTCCAATACACTAGTTATAAATTGTATTGATGATTTTAAGAATTAAAGACTATAGACCAAGAATATTAAATTTGATCGAGTTTGTGTTCTATTTTTTTCTCGATTTTTGTAAAGAATCGTTTACAATTTGTGTACCTGTTTTAGTGGTCAACAATCGATAAAGTTACAGTGGAGTATTTTGTTTAAAAGTAATTTTCGTGAATTTGTTTTGGTCTAAAAAAAACATGTTAACATCTACTAAAATAATTTTAACAGACAATCTAAGAAGTAGAATGCATGGGAACATTTTTAAGGTTTAGAATTTCACCAAAACATATAATGTTTGTTGGGAAAAAAATTGAATGCAAATTTTAGTTTTTCTAAATTCAGTGCCGGCTCTGAAATTTTGGAGGCCTAAAAAAGTTTTAAAGATTTTATAGTAGTTTCTAAAATTTGGGACTTTTTTACAAAAGTAAAATAAATTAGGGCGTCTAATTTGTAAATAAAAAATATCTAAAATTTTGGGGACCCAAAACAATTGTTTTACCTAGCTGTGCTCGGCCCTGCCTAAATAAATAAATAAAAATTGTTTATAGACGAGTTTTCTTTATAATATAACATCAAATTTTAATTTGATGTTAGTATATATATCATTTCGATAAACTAACCACATACTATATATAGATTTTCAATTTGTCTTCTTGATCATACTCCATGCAAAATGATATTTTGTGATGTGTCATTTATTTATTTACTCTACAAACATTTTAGCTAATTTGAAGCCAACTAATTCCTTTTGTCTGACAACACCAATTAATCTATTGTTTAATTGCTGAAGAGACAGTGCCAAGCTCTTGTAGCTCTGCTGGTCAGCGAAGGCACATTAATGTGTAACGCTTGATTGGTTCGAGCTCGGGCAAGGCATGAAAGAGACAGAGAGAGAGTCATGGAAAGAAGCAAGATGACGAATCGGGAAAAGGGGATTTTCATACCCGTACTATCGGGACCGTGGATTTTTATACCTCGACATTTTTGTAGTGTATTTTCCAACCCAAACTGAAATAAAATTTGAATTTCATACCTGTATTTGATAAATCGTGCAAAAAACGGAGTCAATCTAACGGGTGTTAGTCAACTCCGTTACGATGCTGAGTCATCGTACACGTGTACGCTGACGTGTATCCCATACGACGTCGTTTTGATAATTGTTCTCAAAAGTTTAAATTTTTTGCAAAATCAGGGATTCGAACCCGTGTCCCTTGGCCCAACATCGAGCACCTTTACCAATTAATCCCACAACACTAATCGAACATTCCCCAATCATTTTAAGTTATAAACCTTAATAGTTGTGTGTTTGGAAATAAACCAAACGACGTCGTTCCCTAAGGAGAAGACCCATGATGTCAGATTCAGCTCCGCGAATAGCTGATTCCTGTGTCTGTGACATCTCGATTGAAGCATTGGCGAATCTCAATGGCGACGGAGAAGTTGTTCTGAGAGGTGGTGAAATGAGTTTGGTGGGTTTGAGGTAGAGATTGTTAGGTTTAGGAAACGAAGAAGAAGATGCAGAGGAAGATGAATTGAGTCTTGATGAAACGAGAGAAGGTTTGAGTGAAGATGAGAGAGATAGGGTTCCCATGGCTGAAGCGAAGAAGAAGAAGAAGAGAAATTTGGTTTATTTCCAAAACACACAACTATTAAGGTTTATAACTTAAAATGATTGGGGAATGTTCGATTAGAGTTGTGGGATTAATTGGTAAAGGTGCTCAATGTTGGGCCAAGGGACACGGGTTCGAATCCCTGATTTTGCAAAAAATTTAAACTTTTGAGAACAATTATCAAAACGACGTCGTATGGGATACACGTCAGCGTACACGTGTACGATGACTCAGCATCGTAACGGAGTTGACTAACACCCGTTAGATTGACTCCGTTTTTTGCACGATTTATCAAATACAGGTATGAAATTCAAATTTTATTTCAGTTTGGGTTGGAAAATATACTACAAAAATGTCGAGGTATAAAAATCCACGGTCCCGATAGTACGGGTATGAAAATCCCCTTTTCCGGATGACGAATCCATATCCACATGTGAGATATTCTTTTTTTTTTGAGCAAAGTGAGATATTCTAAAATATCTTTTTTTTTTTGTAAATGGAGAAAAATACTACTAAACCTGTGGAGTGGGACATTGGATACGATCTTTTAATTATTTATTAGGACAATAATTTATTTGTAGCTGAGCAGCAAACAAGTAATTAACATTAGTACTATCTTTAGCAAAAAAAAAAAAAAATTGGTAATATTTGGTGTAAGACATTGTAATAAAAGAAGGAAGATAGCTTTATAGATTCGAGAATTGAAATCTGAAAACTTTAAACTTTCTTACACTAAATTAAATGATCATTGGACATCTATATGAAATGAGTGTTGCTCATTCAATTCAATGGATATTGATGTGATTTTTTCCCATTTTTTCCTAAATTTCTTGAGCTCTAAACCTTAATATCTATCTCTGTATATACACATTTTTATTGGCTCCGTTGATACTATAAAAACTAATAAAGCTAAATTATTGGGCTGAAAAAAAACTTGGAAGAAATTCTGTTAATTACTCTTGTTGGAGTATTTACTGTTTTTGAGGCTTAAACGATTTAACTCGTGATATTATCGGATTCGGATGAAATTTTTGCCTAAATCTTTCTAAAACGACGTTTTTTAGTTTACAAACATAAGTTAGATTCATAAACCATGTCAACAATAATATCATAAAATCTCACAAACCACGAATCATTTTATATTATAACATCCCAATTCATCTATAAGAATCTTATCGACATTTTTAACTTATTGATAAACCACATAAATAATATCCCATATAATATAGATATATGTTAATAACTAGTTAAAGCATCTTGAAACACATTCATAAGAAAACCTATTACATACAAATTCACCTTAAAAAAAGATATATTAATTAACTAAAGCAAGATAAAGACAAATCTCTCACTCAAAAGTTAACCTCTTATCTAACTCTCTTGTTAGCAAACTGCTTTGAGCTTCAAGGTATTTTCGAAAGATACTATACTATTATTTTAATTATTTATCGTTCGTATATATCGTACAAGTTATTTCACTCATAGTACCAGTTCTCCCAAACATTCCAAATTAATCTCGATAAAAGAGTTGAAAATAAATATACATAAACAACGATTATTTATTATAATGAAATTTAGATGTAAAAAGGTTAATGAACTGAAATCCTTTAAACGTTATATTTTGTGGAAAAATATTTAGAAACATGAAAAACAACAATTGACCAAAAAAACTGGAGAAAATTAGCTGACTAAAAATGTGAAGATTTCTGTACACTAGTTTTTATATATAAAAATTGTATTTATTCAAGTTTATGTTAGCTATTTTGTATACTTAATATTACATGATGAAAAAATGGCGCCTAACTCTTGTAGCTCTATCGGTCAGCGACGGCACACACTAGTGCAACGTATGATCGGTTCGAGACTCGAGCAGGGCATTAAAGAGAGAGAGAGAGATAGATAGAAGAAGCAAAGAACATGACAGTGACCTATAACCATATGAGATATTCTAAAATATCTCTTTTTCTTTTTTGTATATATTTGATGTAAACAAGTTCGCTTCTCCAGTTTGTAATATGAACAGTGAATAATTCAAAAACTAGACATGGATTTTTTAATTTTTGTGGTTCGCAATTTTGCCAGTGATAAAAAACTAAATACTCAACGTTCAAGATCTCTGGATTCTTCGGGATGATTTCATTTGAATATTATTAACATTTAAAAAAATATGGCAACATAAGATAAGACTAATACAGTGAGTAGTTCGCCAAATATTTGTATTTGCTTAATAAACGTAAACTAATAGACTAATAGTGGATTTGTGAGTCAATTATATATATTCACAAAATTATTAAGGTAATATATGAACAAATACAAGATAATTAAAGAAAAAAATATTATGTTTAATCTAGATTGTTGGATCAAAACCAAAACAAACTTTAAACAACTGATCATTTTTTAATACAGTACCAATTCATTCTGAATCGAGAGAACCACATTTTTTTTTCTTCTATAAACTCTTCTAAATATTAATATCTATCGAAATTATTATTAGTATAGTATAGATTCTAAGTTAACATGTTTAAATATACTAAATATATGAAAAGTTTATATAACAAGGATATACTAAATACATATATGAAAAGTTTAATGCTTCTTTATTTAGTATGATAGTAACATGATCCGAATTTGTATATTTTTAATATAGTTGGTGTGTCTATCTCTTGATAAATTGTAGTAATGTGAATTTATGAATTATTGAACAAGACAATTATAATTATAAAAATAATATGATTTTGACATATACAATCCTTAAGTAATTTCACATGTTCTTTTACTTTTCCACAAACATAAAGAATAACGAAACGTGTCAAACATATCCTCCATTCTTATTCATCCTCCAAGAAACTTTGAACTTGACCGAGATTAGTAACAATCACTCGCATATATAAATCCATTTCATCACAATTCATTTGCCACATAACCGATCTGAAGATCAAAAATAATCTAAAACCCTCTCTTATATTTTTATTATTTCTATTCTCACCCCAAAATTCATCGATATTACATTCACACCCCAATTGTTATAACTCATGTCCTCCAAATTGATTTACCGTACTCTTCGACCGGTGCTATCGTCTTCCGGTTTAGGTATTGGACCAGGAATCAGAGGACATGTCATCAGCCACTTGTCCACTGTTCGATTTTTGAGTTCTGACACTTCATCTCCGGTGAGTGGGAATAACCAGCCGGAAAAACCTGTCCAAACGGCTGACGGCAAAGTCATATCCACTTATTGGGGTATACCTCCGGCTAAGATCACTAAACCGGACGGTTCAGCTTGGAAGTGGAATTGTTTTCAGCCATGGGATTCATACAAACCGGACGTATCCATTGATGTAACCAAGCATCATAAACCCTCCAATTTCACTGACAAATTCGCATATTTGACCGTTCAAACTCTGAAAATACCGGTTCAACTATTTTTCCAGGTAATTTAATCAGAAATTTTTAATTCTTATTTCATTTGTTCATTGACTTTTATTAAGAAACTTTTTTCAAAAATTGAATAATTTATTTTGAGTATAGAGGAAGCACATGTGCCATGCGATGTTGCTAGAGACGGTGGCAGCGGTTCCGGGAATGGTCGGAGGGATGCTTTTGCACTTGAAATCTCTCCGGAGATTCGAACATAGCGGCGGATGGATCAAAGCTTTGCTCGAAGAGGCTGAGAACGAGCGTATGCATCTCATGACCTTCATCGAACTTTCACAACCCAAATGGTATGTATGCATGCATATACCTTAATTTCTAAATGGCATGTATAACATTTTGGTTAAGTTCTCCAATCAAGTTTGGTTTAACGTGGATCGGTTATCTAATTGACAAAGTTCTAACCATAAAATTTTTGGAATTGTGTAATTCATTTATTATTTGAACCGGTTTATGAAGGTACGAACGGGCGATTGTGTTCACGGTCCAAGGCGTTTTCTTTAACGCATATTTCTTAGCTTATGTGATTTCTCCAAAACTTGCCCATCGTATCACTGGATACTTAGAAGAAGAGGCCGTGAATTCTTACACCGAATTTCTCAAAGACATTGATGCCGGAAAATTCGAAAACTCGCCAGCTCCAGCCATCGCAATCGATTACTGGCGGTTGCCTAAAGACGCAACGCTTAGGGATGTGGTTTATGTTATCCGAGCTGATGAAGCTCACCACCGTGATATTAACCACTATGCTTCGGTAAGGAGTTGTATACTTATTTATCAAAATGATATAACAATATTCGGTGTATGAATGTGAATTTCATTAATCTTATGTGTTCAGGATATACAATTTCAAGGACACGAACTTAAGGAAGCTCCGGCTCCTATTGGATATCATTAAAGATGATGTGACAAAGCTTTGTATACATGTGATTTATGTGAACATATGTTGTTGATCTCCGTGATATTTTTATTTTAATGTTTTCTATTTATTAAAAACTAGATTCGGATCCGCACGTTCGTGCGGGGTTATATTTGTAGATGTATTTATTTGGTATAACATTCATTATCCTACCTCATATCAATTTGGTATTCGGTTTATTTTCAATTTGGTTTAGACAAAATAATTAAACGGATTTGTTTTTGTTTACAGTAAAGACAATTACATAATTAAAAAGAGAGAGAAAATAGACATATCAATTTTGAGGCAGAAAATCCGTATGGTCACATATCTACCACACATATCTAATCACATAAGCGTTAATTTACTCGTTTGTGATTGTATATCGTGTAGGTCTAGGATTCGGATGGAATACCAGTATTTTGTGTATTTTCGTTTAGGTATTTAATTTTTACATAATTAGTTGAAGTTATCCGTATTTTCTTTATATTCTCAATATTTCACTATTATGTTTTAGAAAATACCCAAATTTCCCAAAATTTCCATCACGAAATAAACTTTACCCGTTCCAAAATCTTTTATTTGGCACATGCTATGCTAGATAAATTGAAAGAAACATTTTAAATATATGATTGCAAGCAATGTTTTAGTTTAATTGTAATTTGTTATACGACATTTTTTTAAGAATTCTCATCCCATCCCGTTCAAAAAATAAGTTTCAATATTTAGGGTAACACACTATTATAATCTTAACAATATGTTTGCGAATCAAAGTATTAAATATAGATTCGAGTTATATGCTTGATTTTTTTAAAAAAAATCTATAATTAGAGTTATATTTGGCAAGTATAATAATTGTTGTGATATGATTTCGTAAACTAATTTAAGATTAGATTTAATCGTAAAAATTTGTATTTTCTATTTTTATTATTTCGAATTTGTTATTGTCAATTTTTACGGAAACCTTATTAAATCATAACAGTAAATTTAGTTTGTTTGAGTTTTAGATAGAAAAGACAGAAAAAATCTTTTTTGAATATATATTGTTAATTCTCCAACAAAATAAATATATATACTTTTTGACCAAAAGAAAAATGCTTTCGAATTTTTTTCTTTTGTTTTTCAAATTCAATAATTCTAATGGCATTCATTGTAATTAATCTACCAAAATAAGGTTTGTTAGTTTTGAGTGATTCCCAATTAATAATATAGATTGTTATTCCTTATTACTAGTTCAATATTGGTAATATTTTTAGTATATTTAAAATATCTCTTATTTGGTATGAACATAGTACTCCATGCAAGAACATAGAATTTTAATAATGTTATATGTAACACTATCTGTGTGTTAAAAGATCATACTGATCCACCAATGATCCTAAAAATATGGAAACATTATTAAAATTCGATTGGTAACACTCTATAGTGACCGGTTGACATGCATGATTTACTAATCAAGAAAATTTGCAAAATGCTTACCAAAACTCAAAAATGCATGATTTAAGGTTTTGCCTAAAAATAAAAGTAAAAATATATTATTCAAATAAGCCGAGTATAATTGCTTATTTTATTATGTAAATTTTCATTATGCGATAATACGATTTATGTGATAATTATGTCATTATGCGATTATTCTGCGAAAAATCATTTTATTATTATGCGATTTATGTTATTAATGTCATTATGCCAATTATGTGATAATGTTACCACAGCCATAATTATGCAAACGTAATTATTATTTTCTCTTTGACCAAGTTTTCTCCGGTTCAATCATGGTATTTGAGATTCGGTTCCTCCATCGAACCGGTCAATACCCAATCAAATAACCAAACATGGAAATTTTCGGACACAACCCATCAAAAACCCAAAAACATAATCAGAAAAAGTACATTTAACAGTGGACGGGAAAAAAAAAAAAAAAGTACATTAACAGTGTTGTTGAGTTGTCTCTCTTGACCCAACTTCGCTGCAAGACCGTCATGAGACGAACACACGGAGGCAGTGGAAGAAATCACGACCGCCGCTACATCCGTCGCGACGCTGGGATTGTGAATCCAATTAACGATCATACACAATCGGAGCATCAACAAGAAGACAGGACTTCCACTGATTCATCATCTGCAGCTTTTCCGTCTACTTCTCAGCCATTCCAAAACCTCGATCATCCTACAAAACCTCCGAAATCTCACCGCAATCGGCGAAGCCGTGGATCAAATTCCAAACCTCGTCCCGTGGAGAAATCGGAGGTGAATTTTGCTGAATCCGATGTTGTAGATTGCTTAGCTGATGAATTAAGTAGCTTAAAGGTGAAACAGAGCTCAAATTCGATTATGGAGGAAAAATTTCATCACAGTTCTGGTGATTATTCGAGTTGTGAGAAATCGGAGGTGAAGAGAGCTGAAAGTGAAGAAATTGATGATGGTGTTGATGAGTATGAGAAGAATGAAGATATTACGTTGACAATTTTGAAGGATTTGAGATCTAGTGTCAGTGAGCCAGAGCTAACAGAGGAGCAACTAAAGATGAATGATCAATTGCAGGAAGATGAGGTAATTGAGCTATAAAGTTTTGACCTTTGGGATGTTTCAATAGCTTTAGGATTTTTATTCATAGAAGAATTCTTGCAGCTTTTGGCATTGGGGTACATCTATGGAGGAAACATGTTCATCTTTGATCGGCATAAAGATATGCGATACTTTCAGGTCAGTGACATGTTTCGTATCGATAATGTGACATATCAAATTATTCTAATAGTATTGATTGTGCAGGTTCATGTAAACGTTGAAGCTACTAGTGAATATACTATCTCTGCGAAGCTTAACTTACAAGCGGATTCAAGCAAGGAGTCAGAGGATTTCCTGTACTCATTCAAGGCGCAACACCTTCCACCGATTGTGTTGACATGTTTATTACCAAACGCTTATCCGAGCCATTTACCGCCTTATTTCTTAATAAGTGTTCAGTGGATGAATCCTGATAAGATTTCAAGTCTCTGCTCAATGCTGGACTCTATATGGATGGAACAGCCAGGGCAAGAAGTCTTGTACCTATGGACGGATTGGCTACAGAACTCGTCAATTTCTCATCTTGGCTTTGATAAGGAGATTGTTCTTGGTCCTTATGGGGTTACAGTTTCCAGAGATAAGCGTGCTATGTCTGGAAGTCGTTCTCCAGATTTAGATATTCCTTATATTAGGAGTTATGACGATGAGAAACGTCATGAAAGCTTCCTTCAGAGCTTGCATGAGTGCTGTATATGTTTCACTGAGTCTGCAGGTAATACTTGTTCTTCTTCATAGCTGTTTTCTTTAGTATTGTGGGTTGGTTGAATTCAAGCTGCGTGATATTTTTTCTCAGGTATTGACTTTGTTAAGTTACCATGCCAGCATTTCTTTTGTATGAAATGTATGAAAACCTATACAGACATACATGTCTCTGAAGGCACAGTTAACAAACTTAAGTGTCCGGACTCGAAATGTGGAGAAATTGTTCCGCCAGGTATATTGAAGAGATTGTTGGGCGAAGAAGCGTATGAACGCTGGGAAACTCTTATGTTACAGAAAACACTGGAATCCATGACTGACGTCGCTTACTGTCCTAGATGTGAAACCCCGTGCATAGAGGACGAGGAACAGCTTGCTTTATGCTTCAAATGCTACTTCAGTTTCTGCACGCTTTGTAAGGAAAAGAGACATGTGGGTGTGGCTTGCATGAGCCCGGAACTTAGGCTTCAAATCTTGCAGGTATCATTATTGTGCCTTTGATCTTCTCTTTTGTTATATCGCAAAAGATTTTACACCGTTGACTCTTTCTTACATGTAAATCTCTATTCAGGAGCGTCAGGGTTCTTCTCGTCTTGGAGAGGAACAAAGGCGGAAAGAAAAAGAAATGATCAATGAGATTATGAGTGTGAAGGTGATAATGAAAAGCGCTAAACAATGTCCGTCGTGCAAAATAGCCATCTCAAGAACCGGAGGTTGTAACAAAATGGTCTGCAATAACTGTGGCCAATACTTTTGTTACCGTTGCAACAAAGCTATCACTGGTTATGAACATTTCAGGTTAGTGATGTTACATATATGAAAACGAGTATATACATATGTATAGATTTCTTGGAACTAAGTAAACCCTGTCTTTTTTTTGGAAAAGTGAGGGAACATGTGATTTGTTCCCACAAGAGGCGATCCAAGAATGGAATGAGAGGATGAATGAGAGACAAGTCATTGGACAAATTCAAGCTCAACTGTTTGCACAACATGGTCAGTTTCCACAGCGCGGTCAGTTATGTCCTAATTGCCGCCAGTTCAATGCAAAGGTAAAAAACTAATTTGGTTTTATCAAGCCAAAGATTTATCGTTTTTTGAGGTTCATCAGATGATTCTTGAGTTGGTTATTGTGTAGGCGGGAAACAACAATCACTTGTTTTGTTGGGCATGTCAAGCACATTTCTGTTATCTTTGTAAGAAAGTGGTGAAGAAATCTGCTCAGCATTATGGACCAAAGGGTTGCAAGCAGCATACAGATGGGTAAAGGCATATCTGCAAAGTTCAAACATAGATTCTGTTTTTCTGTTCCAAATGTTGTCATTTGTTTTAACGTCCGAAAGAAATATTAATAAGTTTGATTCATTTTTCAACTGCGGTTTCTCTTCAATATTTTACTATACTTTGTCATTATTGTGTCTTCCGCTTAAGGTATAAAAACATTGATGGGTTTTGGTTCATTTTTTGAAGATAAACATTACCTAATTGTTCTTACATTTCCTATATTGGGAGTCTCAGTAAAACTGACTGTATTTGAAGATTACTAAATGCACAAACCTCGATACTCTTCTTAGTGGCATCAAACTCAAATCTCGACTATACTATCGACTCGATTGTTGTTATTAAGTTATACTAGATTAGTAGTTAGTTTGTCAAAAAAAAAAAAAAAAGGTATACTAGTTGAACCACAACTAAAAAAGAAGAATAACTTCGGTTTACACTTTCCTTCTTTTTCCTACTTACCTAATTTTTAAATCACCATGGATATAAATCTATTTTTTTTGGTCAATTGTATACATAAATAAATATAACCCTATAATTTATTTGGCTCAAACTTTTAGAAAACTTAAAAACCATATTGTGACATTAGTTATAATTTGTTTTGAAAATAAATTGATGGGAGAGAAGTCTGTTGGGATTTTGTGGATTTCTCTCTTAAGCTATGTTTTATTAAGAAACCAATTATACTCCAATTCCGTCGAAAATAATCATTTTCCCACAAGAACTTTCGCATCAAGCCAGAAAAAGTCCAAACTATGACTCCGATCTATATATTCCCGAAAAAAGTTCTATATCTATTTTCGCTCGAAACGAAAGTTCTATATCTAAATCTTCCCGAATTAGTAGTTCAAGATGATTCGAATCAAAATCTAAAGCAAATTCTCTACTTCGAAAAACAATCAAGAACAAATTCAATCCAAAAAAAAAACGAGAGACGTCGTCGGAGATCCGGAGGTTGTTGAAGAAGAAGACGAGTGAAGAAGTTTCTTGGACGTTTCGCGACGGGAAGAGGAGGGGAGGGAGATGGAAACAGCTTCATCGTTGACGGCTCTTCCACTGCAGTTGTTTGTTCGACTCATAGAAGAGGTGTTCCAACCGATTTGACTCAGCGAAGTGGTGACGGTTGAAGGGAGAAAGAGTTGAGTCGAGGAAAAGCGAGTCTTCATGAGAGAGAGACAGGTCGAGATGGCGGTGGTGGTCAAAGAGGGTGACGGCGGAGGGAGTGAAATCGAAATGTGTTACCATCGAATTTGATTATTGGTTAATTACAATGAATTTTTCTAATGAGATTTTGTAATTTTGATATCAAATTTATCAAAATCATTTTTGTTGTTTGAAGAATCGATTGAAAAATAAGAAGATATCGGATCAGATCAGATCATTTACGGGTCGGGTCTTATTTTAATTCAGTTTAGAATCAAAATTTAATAGTTTGGTATTCGGTTTACTTTGGATTTAAAGTAAAAACCGACGTAATCTAGATTCGGGAAGATTTAGATACAAAACTTTTGTTTATAGGAGAAATAGGTAGAACCATACTTAGGTTTACTCCTGGGGTGAACCTTTAAATTCACCCAACAGATTATAGCCAATCGTTTTGCCATGTCATTATTAATACTAGAGAATTAAAAAAAAAAAGAAACACAATTAAAAAAAAAAAAGGAAATCACAAAATAGATTTAGGGTTTAAGGTTTAGGGTTTAGGGTTTAGATTTTACAATTAAAACGAAATTAGATGTCGGTTTGGGTTGCCAAATGAGTGGTTAGGGTTTAGATTTTATAATTAAAACTAAATTAGATATCGGTTAGGGTTTAGGGTTTAGGGTTTAGATTTTACAATTAAAACGAAATTAGATGTCGGTTTGGGTTGCCAAATGAGTGGTTAGGGTTTAGATTTTATAACTAAAACGAAATTAGATATCGGTTTGGGTTGACAAATGAGTGGTTAGGGTTTAAATTTTACAATTATGTAGTGGGCAACAATTTATAGGCTACTAATAAAGCCTTATTAGCCTAATATATATTTACTGATTTTTTGAGATGATTATATTTGATTAAAAATAAATCAAAACATGAGATGAAAGTTTGGATTGTCTAGGGCTTATGAATTGCATTCAAATCATAAAATATTTTGAGATTTTAACGAATCTAAAATCCCTAATTTATTCGAGGAATATTCTATATTTCAAAATACAAAATATCTAATTTATATTATATTTGAAAATATAATAACTGTTCCTTAAAACATTGGAATAATCAAATTCGCTTTTTATTTCTTCCATCTAAACTAATCAAAATTAATCAGTATAGTTTTATAATGGAAATTTTAAAAATCAAAAATAAATTTTGTTTTTTATTTATTTTTCAATTATATTAAATTGGATTGTCCTTTCCGGAAATATCTAACATTAGCTTGCCAAATTAAATAAGTTAACATATCTACAATTTCAAAAAAAAAAACTTCCATTAATCAGAATTTATAAATATATTTTCTTAAAGAAATAAATTAAAATCGAAAATATATGATGATATTAAATTGATTTTTTTTGTTTCCAAAAATATTTCAAAATACTACGAAATTAAATAAGTTTACATATATATAATTTTGAAATTAATAGTTAGCTTTTTTATGGAAACTACTTTAAAAGATTTCTATAAATATTGGGTAGTTATTCATTTGTTTATTTTATGTGAACTACTTCAAACAATTTCCATAAATATTGGGTAGTTATTAATTTGTTGATTTAATTTTGGATTTTGTTTTATATAAAAAACAAATATCAAATGGACATAATACAATTTTCCGATTATTTATTTTTTCTTTTTCAAATTCAAAAATACTAATGGCATTCTTTGTAATTAATCTACCAAAATAAGGTTACTTATGTTTGAGTGATTCTCAATTAATAGTATAGATACAACACGGGAAAAGGGGATTTTCATACCCGTACTGTCTGCACCGTGGATTTTCATACCTGGACAATTTCGTAGGGTATTTTACAACCTAAACTTCAATAAAATTTGAGTCTCATACCTATACTTGATACAAAAAAAATTGGTATTCGGTTGTGGGATCAGTTGGTATTCGGTGCTTCTCATGTGACTACGGCTCGCGGGTTCGAGTCCCTAATTTTGCAAAAAAAATTAAAACTTTGAGAACACATATCAAAACGACGTCGTTTCGATACGCACCGTAACGGAGTTGACTAACACCCGTTAGATTGACTCCGATTTTTGCACGTTGTATCAAGTATAGGGTATGAGATTCAAATTTTATTGAAGTTTAGGTTGTAAAATACCCTACAAAATTGTTCAGGTATGAAAATCCACGGCGCAGACAGTACGGGTATGAAAACGACGTCGTTTTGAAACACGTCAGCGTACACGTGTACGATGACTCAGCACCGTAACGGAGTTGACTAACACCCGTTAGATTGACTCCGATTTTTGCACGTTGTATCAAGTATAGGTATGAGATTCAAATTTTATTGAAGTTTAGGTTGTAAAATACCCTACGAAATTGTCCAGGTATAAAAATCCACGGTGCAGATAGTACGAGTATGAAAATCTCATTTTCCCGATACAACACTTTAGCTTAGGTGGTTAAGTCAAGATTTGATTTTTCTTAGAAATAAATGGTTCGAGTCCATATTTGTTTTTTCTTTAATATAACCAACGTTGTTTTTTGGTTTAACGGAATCTTTCACCAAAAACTTAATCATGTTAACGTATTCCGTTAATGATGTGTTTTATTTGACAAAGTCAATAAAAATTTACGATTAAATTAGAAATTCAATCTTAATTGACAATTTATTTTAGAGAAAAAATTAGTTTGACCCAAATATAGAGATTAATTATTAAACTAACTCATAAAATGTAAGGATTAGTCTAGTTATTTTTATGACCATAATGCCGTTTTTGCTCTGTTAGGAAAAAAAAGTCAAAATTACTTTACGACAGATTTTATGCGCCAGATTTGTTTTCTCCCACAGACTTATTTGAATATGGTTACGACAGATATTTAATTTGTAACAGATTTTTTTTCCAACGATAAACTTATTTTATGATGAGACCACATAATTTGGCAATTTAGATAGATTTATTAAAATGTGTGACAAATTTATTTGTTTGGTGGCTTCAGAGTTATATTTATCGATAAATATCCGCCATAATGCGGCAGTTTTTTTAATGAAAAAATAATTACTAGTTTGACTTATTGGTGATATTTTGATAACATATTTATTTTATGTTTTGACATTTATTTATTTTTTAACAAAAATCTATAGTGTGATAGCAGATTTGTTATATAAAAATATAAATTGCTATAGTGAAATATAGTCGCAACCAAAATGTTTTATGTTATGACATATTTTTTTTTATTACGACAGATTTCAGATAGGTTACAAAAAAATCTAGCGTATGACAACAGTCTTATTGATGAAAATATAAATTGTTGGAATGACTTATATAGTGATAACAAATACTCCCTCCGTATTTTAATAATTGTCGTTTTAGAAATTTTATTTTTTTGAATTGGATGTCGTTTTCAAATTTCTATGCAAAATTTATTACTTTTTAATGTTTTATGACATCATAAAACATTAAAAAGTAAGAAATTTTGCATTGAAATTTGAAAACGACATCTAATTCAAAAAATAAAAATTCTAAAACGACAATTATTAAAATACGGAGGGAGTATGTTTTATGTAATAATATATTTAAATTTTAATTTTATGTTATGACGGATTTTTTTGTTCTTATATGATGGAAGATTTGTTTTAAACAATACTTGTGTTTTAGATTAGGGAAAATGTCAAAAAAAATGAACTGTCGAAAAGTGTTATAAAAATCATCACCTTGCCAAAATAATCATGCCGTTAATTTCTGTTAAATCTCTGTGAAACTACGAATCGACATCGTTTTGAAATTATTTCAAACATGAGACTCGAACCTTGTACCTCTATCATATACGCATGAATACATAACCATCGAGATAAGCTGTTTTCTTCATAACGGTGACAAACACACAAATTTATATAAATGGATATATCGATGAACAAACGAAGAGAACTCTGTGATGAACACCGAGTCAACACCGAGTTCTTCACAGATTTGAGACTTCGAAAGAACCAGTAGACGTTGAATAGGACCGAATCTCGGTTTTGTTGTGGAGTTGAATTGCATTGAAGAAGACGAGTAGAGTGTAAATCCAGGAGTTGAAGCAAATGTGAGGAATTTGGAAATTCCATGGTCATCAAGATGGAATATCCAAAAAAAAACAAAAAAAAAAAAGAATATCCAAATTTGATAACCCATGTGCTTAAAATCCCTAATTTCATCCCCTTTTCAATTTCAACTTAGGGTGACTCGGCACTCTTCTTCATTGTATTTTTAGACGTTATATAGGACTATTAAGTAATCATCAACAGAGATAAGTCTACATGCAACGCCGATTCATAGATCTCTGCTTCACCCCTAATTTCTGATTTCCTGGCCGGTGTCCGGCGTCTTTGCCGGCTCCGTGCTTTTTTAATTGCTTATAATTCTTTTCTTAGTCTTTTGTTTCTTTGTAAAACCAAATCCTGTATCGATCACTCCATCTGTCCTTCTTTGACGGTGAATTTCGTTGGTCTCCGGTGGTGACCTAAGGATTGATTTGGCAATGGATTTGGATAATCAGTTGATTCAAACGGTGGATTGGCTTTCGTCAGTCTCCGGTAGTGTCGTTCTATGCCTCTTATTCGTGATGATGATTGTGATTAAGTCTGGACCAACGGTGATGGTCTTTGAGGTTTTGGATCCGTCAAACATGATTTCGATCCAAACAGTTAGGATGAATCAAACGCATTTTCATTCGGTAAGAGTAGACTTCTTTTGTGATTGGAAAGGCTTTTGTTTCCGCCATGAGTCTCCCATAGTGGAAACGGTTTATTCATGGTTCGTTGGAGTGGATCGATCTTACGATTTCATCCAAATTGAGCCCGTAGTTATCTCCGTGAAGGGTTTTTCGACTCTCCATGATGCCCGACATTCCCCTAACCATTTTGGTAAAGGGATTGAGTATAAACTTCTAACAACATGTTGGTGTATTGGTCGGCAAATATGGGATCCCGGAAAATCAAGTCTACAGAGAAGCAATATATCAGTGAAAGAGAAGATACCATGTGTCATTAATCGGCAACGATGTGTAGGGTGTTACCAAAAACGACCACCACGAAAACCGCCATGGAATCAACCCACAACGGAGGATGGAGATGCGATTATGATGCGAATCAGAAGATCAGATCAACAACAAGTATGGGTTTACGCTACAATCACAAAACTTCATATCTCTTTCTTCACGAGAGTTCCCAAATCTAGGGTCTTGCGATGTAACGGATGGATCGCAGACTTTGACTTTCGAAAGCGTAAAAGATGGTGCATCGATAAAAAGAAGATGTTTCCCAAGCTAGAGAGTCACACAAGATTGACGGATACGACGAAAGCAACTAAGCATATCATTCGGATTGCGGCGCTTGAACTTTTTTGCTTTTTCGTTACAAATCTATTTGATTGTGTTCATACCCTTATGGTTTAACAATGTAATCTTTGGTTCACATTAATAAAGTTATGATTTGATGTTAAAAAAAAAAAAGTAATCATCAAATTTGTTTTTATTTAATTATGAAATCGATTTTTTTTTCTTTTTTAAAAGTTACAAACTTGATTGAGGTTATTTAGTTTTTTAACATAAAATTTGGGTTAACCTAGTCATCCACTTCTATTGAGACAATCTAGTTATGTTTGCAAAGTTTTGAGTTAAATTTGGTAAATTTCACTTTATTTTAACATATACTACAAAATTGAGATTTTTTTCAACATTTTTTGTAAGTTGAAGTCTTTTATGACTTTTCCAGTTTCAAAACGATCGATCTTCCTTTTTTCTAATTAAAATTACCTCAAAAGATTCCCTCTGGGAAGAGAAAAACTCTACGAACCCGTTGCTGTGTAATAAATTTGGGGAGATACAACCACTTCGAATTTTGAATTCGCTGAAAGTAATAATGACTTAATAAATAAAATAAACGAACATCAATTTTTATGGTTTGTCATCTTTAAGGAGTATCAGTATATATTAAACAACCAATTTGGAGAACACAGCCGACGGAATTGAATAGTCACCGTTAACAATCAATAAAATAAATCAATCCATATAGTTACAGGTTATATCTTACATATGGTTAACACCTGACAATGTATGTGTTCATATGAACTTAATCTATCTTCTTTTCATATGTATTCATTATTTACTTTATTCTTTAGATGATGATATTTCTTGTACTCCCTCCGTTTCACAAAGAGTGTCGTTTTAAGGTTTTATTTTTGTTTCACAAAGAATATCGTTTTGTATTTTCAATGCAAAATTTTGAGTAAAAATCCAATTTTAACCTTATTTCTTTAATGTATTAATAAGAGAGATAATTTTGTTTAGTGTATTAATAAGGGGTATAATAGAAATTTTAATAGTTTTCTTAATATGTGTGTAAAAGTGTAGAATGACACTTTTTGTGAAACAGGGGGAGTAATAGCATCCTTTATAATATTCTCCATATTTCAAGGTTATCCTTTGAAGTGTACAATTCTCAAATAATAATTATTAGGATTTAATTTACACTACATGGCAAAATATTTATTTATTTCTTTTGAATTTAGTAATATTTTTATGTCTAATTTCTTTTTCAATTTTTATGTATATATATTGGTGTTTTGCCGTATTTTTAAATTAGCTATTATTGTTATATGTAGCCGGATTAATTAGTCCATATCATTATACAGTCAAATGTGTAAGAATTTGATTTACTGCATAATGTAACATCATATATTCATATATGGCATTATGTAATTCAATAATAATAACTAGGATTTTAGTTTACATTTAGTCACTTCCTTCGGGCTCATTTCAAATAGATCATTAGTTACCTAAACTTGTTCCATTAACTAAATATGTTTTGTATATATGCCCAAAAAGGTATCAACCCCGATTCCACAAAGCAGTAATTATATACATAAATATATATGTGTATATATAACTGATATGTTTTATGTCTATATATATGTTTATATGTACAGGTTCAAATAATAAATGATTTTGTGTAAAAAAACCTTCTAATTCTCTAATTTTTGTAATTTTACCATTTATCTCTGCTAAAACATGCAGATTGCGCAAACTTGTCGGTAGAGTTGATATTAGATAACTCGCTTTTACGTTCAAAATGCATATTACGTATTAGATAACTCGTTTTTACAGTCACATACATTAGATTTTTAAAATTTTTTAAGGTAGAGTTGATGAACTCGTCGTCGTAAGAGCTTCGATTTAACATATTATTCATCAAAATTTTACAAACTTGAAGGTAATGAAAAAGGGTTAGATTGCGTATTATTTTTGAATTCGTATGTTTAATTAGTACTTTTTGGAGGTGAATGATAAAATTACAAAAACTGACGAGTTTGATGGTTTTTTGCACAAAACCCAATAATAAAAGATATATACCCTCCGTCCTTTTTTTATTATTTTTTACATATTTGGCTTGAAAATGTCCGATCCACTATGGAGATAACGCGATTTAATAGAATCGAATTTTGGTGTCAAATGGACTTCACCACTTTGACTTAAAACATATCCACACCCTCCGTCGTATTTTATTATAGTTTCTAAGTATCTATGCTATATTTAATTTTATTTTCTGTTTAAACATATAATTTTGTGATAATTCGTAAAAGTAGGTATAGTTTATTTTTGGTTAAAATGTTTTAGTTAGATATAAAATAAACATAAAAGACAAAAAAAAACAAGTTATGTGAGGAAACTAGTTAAATACACAAAAATAACAATCTTCATATATACATTAAGCAGTAAATAAATTATTTTACAAAACAAAACTGAATAATTACATTAGTGTCTTATTACACTAAAAGGTTGATTTTCGTAAAAATTCAAAATATCTGCTAATCTGCTATTTTTCAAAATTCTTAATACAGATAGGGTATTACAAAGCAAATTAAAACCACTAAAAAAAAAGTGAGCATTGATAGCAGTTCACGATAGCACGGTTTCACTAATTGCTATGAATGATTGATTTGAGATTTTGATTTTGAATAATTTCTGTCAATAGCATTTAATAAACGCTATAATAGAAAATCAACAAGTGGGAAGCTAAAATCACTTATTCCGCCAATACTTAGCCAAAAAATTTAGATAGCCGCGAACACTTTAGTTTTTCTTCTTTTCTCAAAGACCTAAACAAATTATCTCAGAGACTAGAAAAAAAAAAAAAAAAATCTCTTAGGCTCACTAACAAATCTCGTCGCTTCCACCGTTGAAGCTAGTTGCAGCCTCTTCCTCTATCCTCGCCGTCTCCGCCACTGTGGCTGACCGTCTCTCCCCACCCTCCTCCTCCAGTTCCCTTTCTCTCAAATCAACTCAGCCAAACCCTAACTCCCCTCCAATGGCTTCCGCCGCTGCCGCCACCACCAAATTAAACAGACGCAACCGAAACCCCACATCTCCGCCTATCAATCCCGATCTATTTCTCACGATGAAGTTTCAATCTACCGTGGAGGAGAATCGCTTTGGGAACAGAGAAGATGAATTCAAGTAGAGAAAGGGATGATTCGAAGAGTTTTAGATCGGGAAGTAGAGAGAGAGAGAGGACGTGGTAATGGTGGTGATGGACGGATTAATATACTTCGATAAGTAGAGATTCAGTGACTCTTCTTCTTCTCCTTCTTCATCCTCGCAAAATGGTAAGCCATCTCAATTAGGGATTCAGCTTTCTTTAATTTGGAAATTGGAAACTTGAAAAACCAAAAAGGTATTCTTCATTAGGAGAAAACTGTAAACTGTAAGCTTCAAATCCAAAAAGAAAACTCTTTGTATCTAGAGATGGAGCTCGTGTGTGAAACTCTTTCTATTAAATTATCATTTTGATTGCTAAAGTGTTGCAGCCGGAGCTTGTACGGTTTGAGAGAGACTAGTTGAATATCTCGAGTGGTGGAACCGTAAAAAAATGTAAGATTACTTCAATTCTAAGTTCTAACACATGATGTGTCTATATTTGCTCTTCGGATTTAGTAACTTCATTTATTTGAACTTTTTGGTGTAGGTAAATGAACAATAGGAAGCAAGCTGCGAACGAGAATGCTCGTAATGAAAATAAGAAAGTCGTGTCTTCACCTACACGGCTACACCTGTTGAAAAGCATGAAGCTCCTGAGACATGCACTAGTAGTCCAACATGAGATTAGCCGGAGAGAAGTGAATCAAAAGATTCTGATGATTTAATGTGAGTTTATTATCTAAAGGAGAGGATTTTGGAAGGTACTTTCTTGTTACTGCTAGCCTTTTGTGTTTGATTTCTTATTTTGCAGCTTGTATAAGGGTCTTGCTCCACGTTGGCTGTGAAGTTGATGATCTTCAGGTTTGGCTACACATTGTCTATTTGAATTTTAGTGCTTGGTTTGGTTAATTTCTCCGTTTGATATTATGGATTTTTTGTGGATGACTTGATGGTTAGCAAAATAAAGAACAAAGAAGGATAATTCAGGTGCTTTTGATATTTCTAACATCTTAATTAGTTTTACATTTTGATAAAAACATAGGTTGTCTTTTGTAGTTATGTATTCTCTTTGTGATATGCAGAGATCAGTTTATAAGACAAGGGGAAATAATGTTAATACTTTGCTGCTCCAAATACCTTTGCTTTAATGTTATTACAGATAGCTGAGCAGAATATACAAGAACAGGTAGTGGAAATCAATTCTTCTTCATCTTTAGGAGCTGTTAAGAAAGAGGTGGGACATGTTGAGGACGAATGCTCACGAAAGAGGTAGTCTTTTAAGAATATAAATACCTTGCTCTTTTCTTTTCTTTATTCTGATGATTTTAAAACTGTTGTGTTTTCTATGGTGTGGTGTGTTTACTATGGTGTGGTGTGTTTATCGTTATTTGGTTTATATACATGGATTAGTTTAGCATCCTCTTTGTTTAATATTATTACCATGAGCTTCATCACCTCTATTGGGTTTGAATCTCTTTACCATGTAAAAAAATTAGAGACTGATATATGTATGAGTTATCTCTTTATTTTCTTCTAGATGTCTCTCTGAGTTTGTTAAATTTTTGGCGTTTGATGCAGCATTGATTTTAAGATAAAAACTATTGAGGAAACAAGATTGAAGACTGTGATATATGTTGATGCTTTTATACACATGCTTACAGAGATTATGGACGGGGATGATATGGGAAGGCGAAACATATAAAGGAGATTGAAGTTTATCTTTATGATGTTATCTTTATTTTGTTTAAAACTTTGTATGATGTTATGTAAAAAATGGATAATGTAGTAATACTTTTATGTATTTTGATGATTTATGAAAAAATAAATTATATTATAAATCCAATTAAATTTATTTTGCAAAACATGATTTAAATATAATAATAATATATAAATCAAATTATAAATATATATATATATATATATCAAATAGAAATATGCTACAATACAATATAAAATAACACTAAATGTGTGCTATAATATAGTATATTGCAGCATTCTATTACCGCTATAATTGAACGATCTATAATAGCATGTCAGAAAACGCTATCGTATGGGTGTCCTCTACCATAGCTGCCGAGAACATAGCGTTTATGAATTCGCTATCTATAACGTAAGATAGCATATTTTTAGCGCTAACAATGAACAAATTTCTTGTAGTGAACCAAAAAAAATCTTTTAACTTTATAATGTTTTAATAACAACTAATGCTTTTTTGATGATCTTTTTATGGTTTTTGTCTTCGCAATTAATACTAAAACATCTTCAAAATCGAAACACATGGGAGTAAGTAGTTTAGGTCGTGTGGGTCAGTGTGTGTGTTAATTGTTTTACCATGCATAATCTGGGATATAGAAGTATAGTAAAGTAAAAGTAAGAACAAAAACAAAACGAGCTGAATCTTATGGTTAGTTATAAATTAAGAAGACAAAATTAAAGCAAGTGGCTAATTAATTATGGGAATATATACGGTAGGTATGAGAGAGGGTAATTAAGTAGTAAGAGTTATTGTAATATACAGTTGAGGAAATGAGCTAGTCTAAGATAAGAATAGCATATTAACTAAACATAATGAGAATAATCTCAAGTTATAAAATCTAAAACCAAACAAAACAAAAAAAAAAAACCCAAGTAAAACCTTAGGCTAGAAATGTCGGCGTTAGATCAGGCGTTGGATCAGGCGCAGGATGTGTACTCCTCCACTGTGCACAAGGCTATCATTGCTATCAACGGCGGAGCTTATGCGTTGCTCCAAGTTGTTACAAACCAGCCATCCAAAGCAGCAGCTCACAGATCCATGACTATCCTCGGTTTCTTGGTGCTCAATCTGATCTACGTCATCCTTCGAGTCTGCGAAGTCAAGCTCCAAAACAAACCTCTTATCCGCAGTTTCGTGGGACACACCAGTCATCTCTTTGGGGCTCTCGCAGCTATCACGCTCATCTCCCTTATTTCGACCATTTTCACTCTCATCGTTGTTGTCCTCTGGTTTGTTTGGTTGTTCGTTGTTATATATATCGTTTTCTCTGAGAGCTCAAATCCCCACGAGGCGAACCTAACTGAAGCATCAAGCCAGCTCCCTATTTAGCTTTCATCCTATTCTCCCTCACGCACCGCCCCAGCTTTGAGATCTTCTCTTTTTTTATGTCATAATAAAGCGATAAGCTTTTAGGGTTCATATATTATGCATGACTGTGGACGTTTATGTCAACGTTTATATATGCATATATATGGGTCTTTATATATATTCCTTGACTACTACTATGTTTTCTCATTCTGAGATATAAATTGAACTATGATAATTTTGGCTTTAGTTAAAAGTCTCGCTAAGAATTTAAAATTTATAATATAAATGGAATAAAAACCCTAATCGAGGAAGAGAGAATTTTCTGCATAGGGTCAAAGTTTGAAAAAATGCACATGCATGTAAGACAGACCTTTTGTTCGTGCTAACTTGGGTTATGAAATTTTCTCTTTCTTTCTCTATTATCAAGAATAAAAAAAAAAACATTCCATAGGTTTCTTAAAATATGTAGGAATTTTTTCAAGTGTTAGAAATAAAAGAGAAAACAGTATGACAAGCTATCGCCAGAAATGAGGAAGATAATTGAAAATAGTAACTAATTAGCTTAATATATAAATCCTTACGTCCAGCAAGTATGAAATGATAAGTCATTAAAAAGAAATGATAAGTCATTTGACTTATGCACGTTATATCAATTCTTAGACCTATATTATAGGGGTCGAAAATATTTTCCTTTTAATTATAAAACTTGCATAAAATTTCTTCGTAAACAAATTAAAGTTGTATCATAAAATTCATGGAAAAACTATGAAATGTACCACATTTCTCCAAAAACTTGCCAAATGTACCACATTCTGCAACTCCTTTCCAATCCTACCACATTTGGATTGTGGTGTTACGATTTTACCCCTCTGCGTTGGGCAGTTTTCGCGCCCAAGCGCTGCCACTGATTTGACAACGTTTCGCTTACCTATTAATCTCTCCTCCTCGGTCCTCGTGCGCTTTAATCATCCATCGATTTTTCCATTGAGAGGAAACGATTCCCTTCGTCTCTATCTCACTTCCCCTTCATCTTTCTTCTCCTTATGCTCCGAAGACTGCTCCGAAGATAGAACAGGTAATTTTCGCTGTCAGCCTATCTGCATGTAACTTCAATTGTTTTTGTCCCCCAGTTCTAATATGCGATTTAGGTTGTTAATTCCCTTTTGTTTATTTTTTTGTCCTCATCGGAGTTGGATAATTTTTAGTCCCTCTTATATTAGGGTTCTGTCCCTTGCCATTCCCCAAATCGATTTCTGACTATTTTTTTCCCTGTTGCAGATGAGGTCCTCCGCTGGTAATTTGAAGCAAAAGTCGCCGGTTGGCAGATCCAGGCCATCGGTTTCGTTTGAAGACGACGACGACCCTTTCGTCTCCGCCAAATCAACACCGTCCCACTCTAATCCTCCAAGCCGTCCGGTTATCCCTGAACCGGACAGGGAAAAGCTTCCCAAAAGGCTTTACGCCACTGATTGCTACCCGCCTATAGGTCGTATCAATGCTTACTCTAAGCCGGAGTATCTTCTCGATCTTGTCGAGATCTTAGAAGGTACTAAAGAGTTAAATTATCTCCGCGCTTCATGCTTTGGTCCTCTGTTTCAGCTTCCTGTCCGCCGATGTTCTTTTTCCGGCAAATTAGTGCATCAGATGTTGTGTAGAGGCCTCTACACAAAGAAAAAACACGAGCTTTGGTTTGTTTTCGCCGGTCAGCCGTTCCGATTTTCTTTAAGAGAGTATGCTATTCTGACTGGGCTTGATTGTCGGCCGTACTCAAAAAGATCCGATATATTGAAGTCGCAGCAAATCATCGTACCAAAAAATCCTTATTGGAATGTTCTCATTGGTGAGGAACACAAGGTTGTCCTCATTAAGGACATCGTTGAATGGTTGAGGGCAGACAAGATGAAGCCCAAAAAAGACAAGATGGACGACTGGCGAAGGCTTCGTCTCGCGCTTATCGTCATCGTCGAAGGGATACTGGTCTGCAGTTCCCAACCTGTCAAAGCTTCGGTACAAGTTGTTGAAATGGTTTCCGATTTGCAGCGTTTTGAAGCGTTTCCCTGGGGACGTGAGTCATTCCTTCTCACAATGCGAATGGTTAAGGTCAGTTCGAAGGTTAGCAGTCTCGCAGGCCTAATTGTGAAGTTCAACCAGTCTCATTCTTCAACCCACGGGTTCCCTCTTGTCTTCCAACTGCTTATGCTCAAGGCCATCCCCGAGTTTGAAAAATATCTTCCTAATCCTGATGATACGCAGACCATGGGTGATGGGTCTATCACCACTTTGCCTCCGTTGAAGACTTTTCACAACTCCAACATAATGGAGACAGAGCTGATTGAGGGGGTAATGTCTCTTAAGCTTTATAATTTTTCAATCTTTTCGTTTGTTATTTGATTAATGATTATGTTCAATGCAGTTGGATATTGCCCCCCTGTTGCCTTGTGACGATCCGCCTCACCCATCGATCAACGATTGGGGCGATGAAGTCTCTGACCCGGCTTTTGACTATATGGAAAGTCTTATCGGTCGCGGATACAAGTTCAAACGAGGGGACTGGAGAGGTGGGTGGCGTTCCTGGCCGCCGATAGTCGTTGATCAGAACCTCAAAGAAGACAATGTTCGCAAGCCTAAGAAGGTGTCTTTTAGGCGTCCAAACAAAAACTTTGAAATCCCTGAGACATCCCAGGGTGGTCCATCAAAGGGTAAGGGGAAGGTTACTGAAGACGAAGATATCTGTCCACCAAAGGGTCCTGAGGGACAGGATATTCTATATGCTCTGATCATGGAACATGTTAATGCGAAATTTCGTGAATTGAAGGATGAATTGATTGTTGAGCTTTGCCGGAGGGTAGGTGTTGAGAAGTCTTTGATGAGAGACGAACTCTTAGACGAGATCATTAGCAATCTGCGCCATGGGGGTAAGTTTCCAACACCTTCTAGCGGTGACGATATTGTCCCCCCCCCCAAGAAATCTTTCTCACCAGGTAAGGACAAGGACACTGGTGGACATACGTCTGTCCCCTCAACAGAAGCTGGTGGACACACTTCTGTCCCCTCAACTGAAGCTTCCTCACCAGGTACAAGCAAGGGCACAATTGGACAGACATCTGATTCAACCCATGTCCAGATAGATCCTCCTGCGCCCCCTGGTCCTCAAACCCCGTCTTTTGGTTTGGATCAGTCGAAGGGGAAAAGCAACACTCAAATTTTGGAGGAATTTCAGAAGCAAGCCTGGTCTGAATACGGCGGATTGTCTGATGTTTTACAAAACATTAGCCAGTCTTATGCATCTCCCTCTGGTCCTACTGCTGGTCTATTTGCGTCTGGTCCTTCTGTTTATGTTCCTTCTGGGACTGGTCCTTCTGCTTTTGGTCCTTCTGACATTGTTGTTTCTGCTTCTACTGATGCTTCTACTTCTAGTCCCTCTACGGCTGGGGTGTCTACACCGAAGTTCTCTGGTGATCACAATGTAAGTTCATGTTTTCGAATTTTGGTTGTTTGAATTTTCTTTATAGCTTCCTTAATAACCCCATTTCTTTCATCTTATTCAGCCCAAAGACTTCCAAACGCCATTGCCTACTATACACGAGGACAACGCAGACGAAATGGAGGACGAGATGGTTGTAGATGAGGTTTGTATTATATTATCCTTTTTTATTAGTCCCCTTAAAAAAAATGGAAATTTTTCAAAAACAGTTTGTAACAGGTCCTCGATGCGAAGGCTGCTAAAGAGAAATTTTCTCATGATCACAACGTAAGTTTAAATAAAGACTTGAGAAATTGTTTATTTATTTTCTTTTTTTTGAATTTCTTTTCTTCTTTACTTGTTGTAGCCCAACGACTTCCAAACGCCTCATCAAGATATAGAGGATGATGAAACTGAAGAATCTGAGGATGGCGAAAATACGGACCAGGTTTGTCTGTTGCTCTGCTCTGCAAACATATATTTTTGTCTTTCATGTATATGATCCATTCTTCTAATCACCTATTAACAGGTCCCTGTTGAGAAATCCGTTGGTGGCTCTGTAAACGTCGATGTTGTTGTTGATTGTGAGGAGAGAAAAGAAGATGTAATTGGAAAGTCTGTTGGTGTGTCTGAGACTGCTGGTGAGGATGTTCTTCGAGAGGACAAGTCTCGTTCGGGGGACGATAGTAGTGATGGGAGTCATGGGGTATCTGATCCCGAGGATGTTCAAGATGACGAAGATGTAGTACAGGCGGAGGTATAATTATTTCCGAAAACTAAACCTCATTTGATTATGTTTTGTCCCTGAAGATATCGTCTCCATATTATTAGGCAAACAAAGCATGGCCGCCAGAGCTTTTTAAATCTCCAAAAGCTGCTGATGTACAACAGGTTGACAGTCAAGAGGTATGTTTATCTTAATTTAGTCCACTTTTATGTTTTCGAGAAGAAAATTGCTGGTATTGTTTCCTAACAATTTATGTATGGATAGCCTAATGCTGGTGGTGGAGTGGCAAAGTCGAAAAAAAGAAAACATTCTTCTGTTGGTGATGGTGTTGAAGGGAATTCTTCTAAGCCGATGCTCCCTTCCAAAAGGGCAAGGAATAAACCCCAACGTTTCCGTGACCCAGTCCAAGAAGTCACAGGGACCAACAATGATCCGCAAACAACTGATGATGTCCTGCACCCAGTTGCCAAAGTTAATGATGAGCTCCGGAAAAAATTCCTGTCCTCTCTCAAAAATTATCGCAGCAGGTATTTTGTATTTCGTTTCCCCATTACTATATTTTTCCTCTTTTTTTTAACAAAGAGTTTATTGAAATTTTTTTTTATTTTCCATCAATGCTCTCAGGGAGTTCGTTATTGATGGACACGTTGTCCCCAAGTCTTTTTTTAAGGATATGCACACTCCGCAGCAACCTGTCCACCAAGAGGTACGATTTATTTAATCTACTGATTTATTTATAGCTTTTTTTTAAATTACATGACCTCTAACTATTCTGGTCCCTATACAATCCAGCACATCGATGCCATGCTAAGTCTTTTGGCGCGGAGGTTTGGTGATGCTTTGGTCCAGGGTAGGGCTGCTATACTTGATTCATGGTTTGCCCTGAATCTTTGCGACCTCTATCCTCGTTTCAAGAAGTCTAAAACCAAATCTGAGTGGGCGTGGAACAGTAAGATAAGGGACTACGTCAGAGGAATAGTCCCCGGGAGATTCATGAGACAGGCTTGGTTCGCCGATGTGGACACTCTGTACGCGCCTTTTCATATGTCTGGCGGACACTGGGTTGCGCTTGTCATAGATTTGAAAGATGGGACCATCGCTGTACTTGACCCTAACGAGGGCGCTGAAACCGCCAAACAGATGGACCAGCTGATGAAACCTCTGCTTGTCTTGCTTCCTTTTATCATCAAAGCGCTTGTCCCCGAAGCTCACCTCGTCAATCAGCAAGTCCCCCGTGAGTTCGTCTATGATTGTCTCCCTGAAATCCTCCAATGCGAATATGAAGACGACAGTGGTCCTCTTGTTGCGAAGTTTATTGAACTTCATTTCCAAGGCATTAACCACGACACCATACCCCAAGATGATTTCGTGGAGAATGTCAGAATGAGATTTGCGGTCGACATCTTTGAGGAGTTTGTTGAGCCTCTTCGAAATTGATGCCCCTTTCAATATTTCCGTCTAAGAACTTATGTCTTTTGCATTATTATTTACTCTATGCTTTTCTCTATGCTTTTGTCTTCTTGGATGTTTAGGAATTTCATATTTTAAAACTACTTTGATGCTTTAGGAAGGGAATTTGGTTTTGACTAATATAGCGTTTCCCCATGGTTTTAAAACTACATATTTTTTTAGGATTTTACTTATATATATCATAGAATCCATGGACGGTACACTCGTCGTCCCCCGGTTACAACTATGGACGAAGTTTTGGCTATCAACCTGCTTTCCTTTTACTCGTCGTCCCCCGGTTAAAACCAGGAAACTAGATATTTAAATATCCAATAACAGTGTCAGAATCCAGCTGCTTTCCACTGTTCTCTCCCCTAATACCTTACGTTTCCCCATGATTTTTGCCTTCTGTGTTATCACATCAGCTAAAAGGTACCTTTTCTAAATTTATATTATTTTTTCAAGATTATGGGGCCTATCTGAAATCCTCTATTTATCTCTCTCCGCCTTAATGTTTTCTTCTGCTACTTAATTATCCTCTTTTCGACCTACCATCATCTTACTCCATACAGCTTACTCCATCATTTCGACCTACCATCATCTTGTTTCCCACTGAATATGGGCCTGCATAGTTATACCCAGCCATCCATGAATTCTTCCCGAGAATCTCTTAGTTCTTATGGACCTCTTTATCCGTCGCCAATGCCCCTTGAAAATCTTGGCATTCCTCGTCACTGTTACTGCGGAGGGACTGTCGTTCTTGCGAATTCTCTTTCTGAAGACAACCCCGGTAGGCAGTTCTATCAGTGCGAGAAGAGGGAGGTAAGATTTTTTTCCCCTCTTTACTATATTCGTTGAATGATTCGATCTATTATACTTACATTTGCTCTCTTTGTATACAGGACCGACCCGGGCGCCATCTTGTTAAATGGTTGGATGAAGCGTTTACTGACGAGATTTCAGCTTTAAAGTGCTCCATTAGGGAACAGGAATTATACCTGAAGTCCTTACTTGTTGCCCCTAACGGGGACCACATTGATCTTCCACTGATGTGCGATCGGCTTGACCTTTACCACGAAGACATTAAATCGCTTCAGCATACTGTTGGTCTCCTGCAACGCTCCCCTCGTTCCATTGTCGACGTCATTCGTTTATGTCCTCCAAAACTCATTCTCGTCCTCGCGCTTATAGCCGCCTTCATGCTTGGCACTTATGTGAAGCATTCATAGCTATAAGCTATTTTTTTCATCCTTCGGCTATTATGTCTCTTATGTTGACTTTGGCTATTATGTCTATTATGTTGTCTTCGGCTACTTGGGCTATTATGTTGTCTTCGGCTATTATGTCCTCCAGTGTTGTTATATCGGGGGACTCACGTGATATGTTTGTCCCTTTTGTACTTGTACCCGAATTAAAATATTAAGGATGATATTTTTTTTTATTAGAGCCCCAGAAATTTTTATCTCCATGTCCCCAAATAAAAATTTCGAAGCAGCTATCCCTTAGAATAGTAATTTACCTAATAATAACAGAGGTCTTGTCACTTATATTAGTATTTACTATACTACATTCATTGTCCTCACCTACTAATTCCAATACTCTAACAACAGCCCTTTAATTTTGTATAGGTTTTTGTCACTTCTAATTTATTAGTTACTTTTCCACATTCAATTGTCCCCAACTACTCCCTGTATTGTCCTCGCACATTATTATCTTCTGTTAATAACTTCTATATATAGTTATTGTGGCTATATGGAAACCAACAGTCTCCATACTGCCAACATGTTTTTCTGGCAAAAGCTTCCCAAACATCTTAAGCTTGCGATTGTCCTTCTTGTTGGTAAGTCATGTTACCGGCACTTAGGACCGCTAATTCTCTCTGGTAACTCTGGCCGTCGTCTCGCTCTTGATCCTTATGTTTTGCGGGAGACTTCTCTGGCTCTCCTTGAAGCGCATCCTCAATATGTTTTCATCGGTTCACCCATTCACTTGTTTGTTTTACGGTGTGTAAAGGCTGGCAATCCCGTTGCTTGTTACTTAGAGAGCATTAGGCTCGCTGCAGTCGATGGGTTAATAAAAGAAGCAATGGACATGCTCGCTCTTTTACCCGATCCATCCCCCAAAATCCTATTCACGAAGGGTCTCTATCTTGTTTCTGTAAATCGACCTATCGATGCCATCACCGCCATGAATCTATTCAAACACGAAGTTGTTTCTTCCCGCAACGCTGCTCGTGTGTCCACGCTTGTGATGTCCGATATTAAGAAGATTGCCCCTGACCAACTTAGATTCAACTGGACCGGCTATACCTGCTACTTGATCCATCCCCCTCGTCGATATTCAGAATGTTCCAAATGTAATTTTTGGAACCCCTGTCCTCTCTGTGTTAATTGGTGGGTCTTCTGATTTATTTTTTTTTCTTTATATGGTCTCCCATCGCTCTTTGTCTTCGGTCTTCGGAGACCTATTATATACTAATTTTATATATTGTTTGTACGAATAAGCTGTGAGATGTGCTTGCAAGTTTCTTTATATTACATCAACTTTCCACATACTACAAGTCATACTACATCCATTTACCAAAATCTACCATTTGTTTTCCATGGACCAAAATATGCCATTTATCACCATATGGACCAACAACTAATTTCCGTTAACAATCCATAGTACAAAACCAAAAAAAATCCGGGAATGGCTTCTAACCCGCAACCTTAGAGAGGATTTTTGCAAGTTGCTCTATTGTGGCCATCCTGTCCACACGTAGTGCATTTGTTTGGTTTCTTCTTTTTCCAACTTGCACCCTACACATCCATGGACACAGTTTGTTAGATTTTATTGAAAGGACGAAATCGATTATTATTAAATTGCCCTACTTACTTGTTGCTCTCCCTGCGATGGTATACGTACTGTCCTAGGTCTTCCGCCTGGTCTTCTTGTTTTGGTGGAATCACAACCACCTCACTAATAGTGTTCGGGACCTCGGTGTCCTTTTCCTTTGGCGGAGGTAGAATATGCTCACGCCATAGCTTACGCCACTCCGTCACGAATGCATAGTTCCCGACCAGCGAGTATATGTCCACGTTCCTTATCCCCACCGCAGCCAAAGCGTGGCAACACGGCACCATTAGCACATCAAATACCCTGCAAGTACATGTCTTCTTCTGTAGATCCACCGTGAAAACGATCCCAAAACCGTCGTTCACTTGATAAATCCATTCACTTGCTGCTATGACAGCACAATCAGTAGCTTCTTTAAGATGATCTATTAGCATTTCCTCGATTTCTGGCGTACATCTTGTCCGAGTTCTTGTTGCAACTTCTCTTCTTTCGCAAAACCAACGCATTAACATTGTCCTTATGAATTCCACCATCGTCACTATGGGGAAATCTATGGCTTTTTGCATTGCAGCATTTAGGGACTCCGAGATGTTGCTGCTCATCACATTATATCGCATGCCCGGGAAGTAAGCAAGTGTCCAATGAGAAATCCCTATCTCTACCAAATAATTGGCACACTCAATGTTTCGTCTCTGTATTTCTTCAAACCAATATCGTAAATCTCCCACAGTGTAAGATCTAGCCGCATTGGAGACCATTTTTGCAAGCCCCTCACACTTGAAATGGTGGACAACGTTCCTAAACAAATGAACAGTGCAGCAAGCATGTTTTGCGAGCGGGTACACCGTCCTTAGTCCAGCATAAATGGCTGCATGTCTATCAGAGACGAAGACAAGATCTTCCTCATCGGGGACAATCTGCAAAAGTTGTTCGAAAAACCACGTCCACCCTGCGATGTTCTCACTGTCAATAATACCAAATGCTAATGGGAATATTTGGTAGTTTCCGTCTTGTCCACTCGCAGCAACCAAACAGCTTTTGTATTTTCCTTTCGTCTGTGTTCCATCTATCACTATTACTTTCCTCAGATACTTATACCCAGCAATTGAAGCCCCAAACGCAAAAAAAAGATATTTGAACCGAATATCCCCCTCCTCAGTGTAATCCGTATGGACTGTGGACAACGTACCTGGATTTGTTGTCCTCAACAGATGCAGGTATGTCTGCAAGAACTTATAGCTGTCTTCCTCACTACCACGAGCTCTTTTCATTGCCATCTCTTTCGCGTGCCAAGCTTTCATGTATGATATCGTTACGTTTAGCTCGGCCAATACTATCTCTGGTAGTTCACAAGCCCTCGGTCCCTTCTTCCCATGCGCATATTTTGCTTTTAGCAAATCACCTAGAATCGATTGTGTTGCTTTCATCCCGTACTTAGACCGCGATTTCACATCACAACTATGTTTCAGAGTTGCTGTTCGAATTTCCACATTCTCTGAGTTCTCGTGAAACGTTGCATATATTCTCCAGTGACATTTGGAATCATGGCATATCGCAATTACCCGCATTTTGTCTGAAGCTTTTATTCGGAAATTGAATAGCCTTTTAATAGAGTACACACACAACGCCCTATGCAACTCGGCTTTGTTCTTGAATATCCTTCCAATATATATTGAATCGCCCGCCTTCCTAAGATTCATGTTTGCTGTGTCTTGAGCAACTCCTTTTGCGTTGTCCTTGAATGGTGCGGCATCTCTAATCATCTCAAGATCGTCCCCCACTAGTTCAGTAAACATGTTTTCCCCCAATGTAAGTTGCGAACTTGTTTGCCCCATTTGGAATGACATTTCTGCACTTTCCTCTTCACCACTACAACCCATGACCTCCTCCTCTAAATTTCCTTCTCGTTCTCCCTCAACAAAAGCTGAAGCATCTGGTCTTCCTTCCAGAAGCATCTGATTTCGTCCAGTCGTGTCCCATGTGGTCCTGCCATAGTCAGTATTAAACGTTTCTGTCCTTTGCGAACTTGTCTCTCTATCTCTCCTTATTCTCTGGCCCATTTCGGGTGACATCTCTGGACTATCCTCTCCAGCCCTACCACCCAAGCCCTCCTCTGTATTTCCTTGTCCTTCTACGTCATCAAAAGCTGAAGCATCTTCTCTTCTTGGCAACGCTGTAACCGAAACGTCCACTAGCCCTAACTCAGTCTGAGTTCGTCCACTGCCTGTATTCCTTCTCCCACAACTACTTTCCCAAGAAGGAATTAAACTATCCGACGTTTCTGTCCCCTGCGTATTTGCCCCTATTTGCCTCATTCTTATTTGCCCCATTTGGATTGACATTTCTACACTTCCCGCCCCAGCACTACAACCTGGTGTTCCCCTTTCTCTTCCGCCCATCTCAGCAACCTCAACTTCAACTAGCTGGGGCCCCGATTCTCCACTCATTAAATATTCGCCCTGGTCCTCCACCGCATTGTCATCCACCTGTCCCCACACTCTTGCGTCTTCAGTCGTTATAGTTTTCTCCTTCGAAGTCTTCCAAGGATCCCAATCCGGCGGGTACTCTGTTTCTATCAACTTACTCATGGCGTCAAAGTCATAGTCTCCGGAATCTTCTGAGTCGGATTCCCATCTCCCGCCATCGCTACCCGTATCCAATTCTCCAACTAGTTCCTCTTCTCGGCGCTTCTTTGCATTTTCCTTGTCAAGCGAAGCTTTCTTCCTCTTAAAAGACTCTTCAAACTCATATATGTCAGCCAAAAATTCCTCTTCCTCAAAAGTAACTGGGATAAACTGTGTGCTTTCACCTGCACCTATGCACTCTCTTTCCATGTCACCCGCCCCCACCTCTGTGTTGTCCCCGTCAGCATTCGAATCTGGTCCGCTGATTGCGTGTTGTCCCCCGGTGTTTGCACACTCTCCATCGTCTTCTACTAAAGTTAGATACATGTTCATACCTCCTTTATCTACCCTTATCTTTTTGAACTTCGACAATGAACTCTCGCTATCAACAGAGACAGGCGGCATCTTTTGTTGCGTGAAGACAGTGTCTCCTCCTTCGAACCAAAAACTCAGCTCCAATTTTGTCCTTTTCCTGTCTACTCCAAATGCTGTAGCAATTTTCTGTTCAACATCACTAATTGTGTCTCCTTCTCCTACATCTACACACTTTGCATATTTCTTTGCTGACATCTTGAATCGCCACTCACCACTTTCTTTGCATTCCCAGGATCCGACCAATATCATTACTCCTTCGTCCATTGAAACCTGTCGTCCTCCATTAAATACACCAAATTAGTATGATAGTTGGATGCATTTATCACAAACAAACAATCCTAACCGTTTTTCGAAGGACTACAATTAAATTCATAAATTTACCTTCAAAAGCTTTTACTGTCCCTGCTTCTACCCCAACTTCAATTTCGTCCAACATATGGGTTTTATCCCCAGAATTCCAGTTTATCCAGATCTACACACAACCCTCTTTTACATGATGTATTAGTAGAGCAATTATGGCCTAACCCTACTCTATTAACATAATATTAAAATTCATCTCGTACGCAATTGTAACCGTGCAGCATTAAATGCACCCTGCTCCCTCTTTACCCGCGACGCCTCACCCTGTCCCTTTCCCTGCCACTCTCTTCAGTCTGCATCAGGGGTAATTTGGTCCGGATCTATGCGTGTGGTATCCAAATGTGGTACATTTGGAAAGGAGTTGGGAAATGTGGTACATTTGGAATGCCACATTCCAAAATGTGGTACATTCAGTCAAATTCCCAAAATTCATCTATTGTAACCAGTTTATTATTGTTTCGATTGTGGTAACGTTAAATACATTTTTTTTTAATTAAAAACTAGACAAAAAAAAAAAAAATTAAAAACTAGACAATCACTTCTTGACAAGATATCAACTTTATCATTACCCGAAATCATTTTTACAAAATGTGTTATAAAAAACATATTTCAACAGTTGCAATTACGATGGAAAGAATTAAAAATAGTTTCAAAAGTCAATAAACTAAAAGATGAGATATAACCCTTGTTACTTTTGTAAACTCTTTTCCTCCTAATTGGGCAACCAATCATGGAGTTGTTTTTAATGAATGTGTGGTTGACAAAAAAAAAAAAAAAAGAGATATAACCCTTGTTTTGTATCCTTGTTTTGAGTAAAATCATCAAAACATTTTACCTGAAATCAAAACGTATATAAATATTTATCTTAAATTTTATTTTAACGGGATTTTCAATGGATAAATGGTGATTAAAAAAGAGAAAAATAAAGGTCATAAACTAACTAGAAAATAGAGATAATTAAGTTGAATTCATTTTAATGGACATGTTTCTATTGTATATTTTATTTGTACATTTAGTTGTAATGAGTTAAATTGAACTAACATTTTCTAGTATATAAATATTGGTTTGTTCTTAAAGTAAAATTCGATAGGGGTCAATTTTTATGTTATAATGGGTCAATTGTGAATAATTAATCAATATTAAACTGATGTCGAGATTTCATAGCTGTCAGTGACCCATATGGTCAAGCACTTATGGGGTATTGGACTTACACCACTCCAAAACCATCATCTTCTTTTTTTCCTTTTTCCTTTTTTTGTAAATGAAATTACTTCAAAAGATTCCCAAGAGTTACGAACCCGTTACTGTGGAGAATGGGCTGAAAGTAATAATAACTTACTAAATAAACAAACATCAGTTTTGGCATCTAAAAGGAGAACACAGCCGACGGACGAAAATAGTCACCCGAAATAATTAATAAAATCAATTAAGGGAGACTCACAAAAATGCCCCTTTTTCAATACCCCTTTTCAAAAATGCCCCATTTGGTTGTCCATTTTTAAAAATACCCCTTTTATGTACAAAATGACTAAATTACCCTTCTTTTAATAAAATATATCACAAATATATAAGGAAATATAACAAAATTAGGTCCACAAAATACAAAATATTTTTTGGCGGGAAAATTGATCCCGCAATTTTTCCCGCCAAAACACTTGTAAAAACTTGTAAAACCTTTAAAATACCTTGTAAAATTTTCCTGTAAAATTTTTTCCCGCCAAAAAATTTTCCCGCCAAAAAATTTTTTTTTGCGGGAAAAGTGATTCCGCAATTTTTTTGGCGTTAAATTTTCCCGCCAAAAATTTTCCCGCCAAAAATTTACAAGGTATTTTAAAGGTTTTTTACAGGGTATTTATAAGGTTTTACAATGTATTTTAAAAGGTTTTACAACGTATTTATAAGGTATTTATAAGATATTATAAGATTTTACAAGCTATTTTATAAGGTTTTACAAGTTTTTTATAAGGTTTTACAAGTTATAAATACCTTATAAAACCTTATAAGTACCTTGTAAAACCTTTTAAAATACATTGTAAAACCTTACAAAAACAATTGTAAATACTCTGTAAAACCTTTAAAATACCTTGTAAATTTTCCCGCCAAAAAATTTTTTTTTGCGGGAAAAGTGATTCCGCAATTTTTTTGGCGTTAAATTTTCCCGCCAAAAATTTTCCCGCCAAAAATTTACAAGGTATTTTAAAGGTTTTTTACAGGGTATTTATAAGGTTTTACAATGTATTTTAAAAGGTTTTACAACGTATTTATAAGGTATTTATAAGATATTATAAGATTTTACAAGCTATTTTATAAGGTTTTACAAGTTTTTTATAAGGTTTTACAAGTTATAAATACCTTATAAAACCTTATAAGTACCTTGTAAAACCTTTTAAAATACATTGTAAAACCTTACAAAAACAATTGTAAATACTCTGTAAAACCTTTAAAATACCTTGTAAATTTTTCCCGCCAAAAAAATTGCGGAATCACTTTTTCCGCAAAAAAAATTTTTGGCGGGAAAATTTTATGGCGGAAAAATTTTTTACGGGAAAATTTTACAAGGTATTTTAAAGGTTTTTACAAGTGTTTTGGCGGGAAAATTGCGGGATCACTTTTCCCGCCAAAAAATATTTTGTATTTTGTGGACCTAATTTTGTTTCAAATAAGGGTAAAATGGTCATTAAAAATTAAAAGAGGGCAAACTTAAAAATGGACTCTCAAAGGGGGCATTTTTGAAAAGGGGTATTGAAAAGGGGCATTTTTAACAATTTCTCATCAATTAATCCATATAGTTTGACAAAGCTAGTACTATTTTTTGTTTTTTGGTAAGAAGCTAGTACTATTTATGTGATATTTAATTTTCATCAAATTCAAGTGGTGTTAAGGCTATTTTTTTTATAACTTTTATAATATTATGATTAGGGGAGTTTAATATGGTTTTTGTTTGGATAATTCAGGTTTTTAGCTATTTATTTTTGGTTTATAAATTAAAGTGTCCAAACGAAAAACATAGTATATAAAAACTTGTAATTATCTTACATATGATCATATACTATTATTTAGGGAGTACTGAGTACATAATGAAAAGTAACCTTACTTTTTGTAAGTAATTACTTAAAAATGTCATTAGAGATAAAATTTCAAAAACTAAATTAATTCATCTCATTAAGAAGAAACAAGTCAAATACTAATTTATGCAATTTAATTAATTTAGTTTAATTATAAAAACGAAAATACATTGTTATTTTTTTAAAAACGACCAATCAAAGTGAACATATAAGATTTGATATTTAACTTACCATATTAATCATTATACTTCACATCTCATGTATATATGATTATATTTTTGTGAACCAAATAAATCATCATATCATCTATATAATAAAAAAATAGATTTTTCTCCACATATGCTATGATTTGAATTTTTAAAAACCAATATAAATTATTCAATCTAAAAAGAAAAAATATAACGGGTCAAAAATTCAGACTTAGTAATATATTTCTTTTCAACAAAAATTATGACTGAGTAACGGATCAGAATTTAAATATTTATAATCAATTTCATACATTTTTTTTTGAAATGTAAAATTTCCATGGAGAACCGAACTGACCTATTGCACTAACAAGAGACGCTCAACCGTTGCGCTACGATAACATTTTGATATTCTAGCAAACAGAGCATATATATATCCCCTATATATTAATAGAGAAACATTTTTTTAAAAAAATCTTACCATCATGTGTTATTAACAAGATTGTCACGTTGATGTGTCGCTCTCACAATGATTTGGCTTCTATTTAGATAATTACCCAAGATTTATTAGACTATTTACAGAATTTGCCTTTAGTCTCATACATCCATATATCCCATTAATAATTAAAAACATACACTTTTTGTTTATCTTATATTACTATATTTTTATATTTATATTTTTCTTTATATACATTTATATAAATTTTCTTTAGCGGATGGGTAAACCAATCTTTTTATTTATATTTATATTTATGTTTATATTTAAATGATAAAATATATACATTTGGTTCAAGAATCTCGAATTCAAAACTACAAAATCTTTACACCTTTCATAAATTTTTTACTTAAATAAATAAGATAATCTCCTTTCTATATATGTTACGAATACTTAAAATCATATTTTTGGAGGAGTTCTAACTTTTCGAAGAAAAACATTATAACCACATTTGTATATAAACCAAAATCTGGCCACATTATAACCATTTCGTAAATAATCCATTCATAATCTAAGAATCTTAGATATGGAACACTACAAAATCTTAGCTTGGAAACTATCAAATCTCATCTTTGCTAAATTTTGGATTTCTTATACTTATTAAAAAAAAAAAATTTCTTTTTATACTACAAAATTTCGAAATCTTTAAAACATACGGAAAGACATATTGCCATAAATGGTAACATTTCGTCAATACTTTTTTTATCACGTTGAAGCTTTATTCAAGGTTCAAATATTTCACGGGTAAAACATATTCTTATATGAAATAGTCCCAAATTTGAATAAAACAAAAAAAAAAATTGTAACATGTTTCGTTTTACACAAACGGATCTTGGATCCCGGATAATAATTTTAATCATAATAATTTTACTTGAATCACTTCAGCCCGCACATCGTGCGGGTTGTTATCGAGTATATATATATAAACTGACAAATAACAATATACAATAAAATAAAAATATATGCAATTATATAAAAATATTAAAACTAAAAAACAACCAAACATAAACAAATATTAAATATACTTACCACAAATATATATTTTGAAATTTTAAATATTTAATTATATATATAAAGATTTCTTTTTTATTTGGAAAATTATTCTTTTCTAGATTTAAGAAAAAATAAAACTTCTTTACTATAGAAAATTAAATATATGACATAAAATTTATACAATCTTTCTCATGTAAATATAGAAACAAAGAAATATAAAATTAAAATATAGTATATATATGTTCTGTTTGGTATAA